AAAAAGATGAGTTCTTTCAGAATTGCAAGATAATCCTAATTTACAGTAACATAACTGCTAGTATTCATGATTTTGTTTTCTAGTCTAGACAATCTCCAGAGCTGACATTCATCGTAGATTCAGATTGAAGAATAAATCAAGTAAAGTACCTAAAATTATCTATCTCTTCTGCAAACACATGATATGTTGTCCATCATTGTATGGATTACCACTTTATTTCCAAACCACAAAAAAGTAATAAAAAGAAAAGTTGCTTTATTTTTTTTATTTTTTTTTGTAAACATCACTGTGTAAAAGAAACAAATGGGAGGTAGTTTAAGACTTGCAAGACTCTGTTATTGTAACCTTACAATAAAAGAATTATTAGTATGTGTGATTTTGGTTTCCTACCCTAGATAATCTGGAAGGGATGACAATAACCTTTCAAGTAGGAAAACACTTTCCCTTCCTCTGCCTTAACTTTCCAGAGAATTGGGGAGGATTGGGTGTTAATCCTGAGATGCTTTCTCAAAGAACACTTCTGGTTTAGTCTCAAATTTCTTTTATCTGACTTTTTTTAAAAATAGGACTGCAGTTCTTCCTCTTGTCTTTCAAGGTTATTCTTACAGTGTATACTTAGTCCAAGAAAAAAAAAATCTCACCTGGGGCACCTTGTAGACATTCAAGATGTTTGCCACTAAGGGATAGATGTAAGAGTTAGGTCCTGCAATAACAGATACTGTCCAATCCTTGGCATCACACTTATAGTTGGGGATGAATCTGCCACGTGTTGAGAGAAGCTCCATTGAAGCCAAGTAAGTCAATCCCGCCATGTGATAACTGTTAGAGATGTCAATACCCAAGCTCATGTTGGATAATATAGGCTTATTCTCATTTATCTCCTTTACAGCAAAAACCAAGGCCAGGATGTGTTGGTAGTTCTGCAGGAAAAATCTGCATTGAAAGATATATTGTGTGGATCTAGGCAGGATGTTATGATTCTTTTAATTCATCATAAACAATTTTTACTAGAAACAGATAAATTGCTTGAAGAAAAATGATCGTATTAAAACCCATATGTAATTATTATATATATATATATTGCCTTATATTTTCATCTTCTTGCATATGTTTTATGGTGGATATAGGCATGAAAAGTGGGTTTGGAGTAAACTTGAGGACAAACGTTATATATTATTTTTAGATCTTAGATATTTTAGATATTTTTAGATGATAGATCTTATCCCAATAAAAATCACTGATGTTTCATTAAGGCAGAGATGCCCTAAGTCTGTGTTCCATGCATGCTCAACAGCTGTTTGGAAAATAATTCCAAGCATGCAACTGTTCCCTAATATTAAGTGAAATAATTAAATGATTAACATAGATTTAACTACAAATAGTACAGCGCCTTGATAATACATCACTAACGATTCATTTAACCGTAAAAAACCAAGAAAATCTCAATATGGAATTTGAATAAAAACATCAGTGGGAGAGTGGTCATAAGTGTGTTTGTGTATTTATTTACCAGGGCAACCTATTAGAGAAAGATATATGGTTTAAGATATGCTATAGTTAAGAAGAGAAAGTCTTTACATGAGCTTGATTACATGAGCGAGATTGGCTAAAATGTATAAAAATATAGACCCGAAGTGTTGGAAATGTAAAATCCGAGAAGGAACAATTTATCACATGTGGTGGCTGTTCCCCAAAGCAAAAAAATTATTGGGAACGAATAGGAGATTGGATACAGGAGATAACAGAGATACAAATGGATTTTAAACCAGAATTATTTCTTTGGGGCATAATAAATTTAAAGATGGAGAATATACACATATTGACTGCAGCTCGTATAGCATATGCTCAATGTTTGTTCCTACAAATGATATGATTATGTACAAAATCTTGGAATGCGCAGAAATGAATAAATGTACGTTAGAATTAAAAGACAAGGAGGCAACAGAATTTTATGAAATTTGGAATAAATGTTATAATTGGCTAGAACAGAGAAAGGAAAAGACATAATTATTGATGTACATAAAATGTAAATAAGATGTAAAGAATGCTTAAAATGTATAGTACTGTTCTGTTTAAAGAAAAGATTTATGTTTATGTATTTTAAGTTTGTTTGGGTGTATGGTGTATGGTGAAAAATAATAAAAAAAATTAAAAAAAAAGAGAAAGTCTTTACATGAGCTCATCAACCAGTTCTTCAGATGGGTGCCTTGTGAAACCAACTGGATCCGATACCATGTAGAACTGAGAGAGTATCCCAGCCATTATGAAATCTCCTGGCAGAAAATACTTGTGCTTAATAAAGGGAAGTTTCCCGACAGAACATGCTTTAGTATGCAGAATATGGCATGTAGCTCCTGACAGTAACATTGACAACATTGCCATCACTACCATGGAAAATTCCATCTTCTTCAAGAAAACACTTTTCACTAAATATGAACCAGTTCTATCTGTAAGAATGAAACATAAGGGGAAAAAACTCTCACTTATTAGAATAAATATTCTTTCTAAGAAAAAAGGTTGTTATGTCTCTAACATTCTGATCCCACAATTAACAGACCCTTTCAGTCCTGACCTATCCTTTGGTGCTGTGCCTGAGAATTCCTGAAAGAGTTGAGAAAAAACCCACATTAGTAAGATTTTTTTGGGTAATTATAGGGGAAATCAGTGAATGTTTGGTGACGTTCCTTGGAGACTGTGGAGAAAGTAGAATGATGATATGTATGGGCTAGGAAAAAAAAAGAACTCATAACTGAAAACTGTAAAAGAGATAGAGAAACATAATGAAAATTCAAATGAACAAATGCTAGTTCTGCAGCTGTAAACTTTAAATTCTCTGGAACAATATAACTATCTGACTTTGACCTGTTAGGGCGTACATTAAAGCATGATTTTTTTTTCCAAAGAGCTAAAATGAAATTGACCCATAATGTTATAGGATCCCACCCACCTTTATTTATCTTTTTGATAGGTCTTTAAGCACTTTGATTACTGTATTTGTAATGTAATTAAATCATGACATTTCTTTGTAAACTTTCTAATGGATGCAGGCCTGTGAGCTGTGTAGAGTCCTTTGGGATAGGAACAGTGTGTAATGCCAAGTGAATATGCAAATAATAAAGGAATACCATTGGAAACAACTTTTTATTTGAGCCACATTTACAAAATGAATCGATCTCAAAATAGAATGTTCTAAGTTCTAGGAGGACCATATTTTTCAATACTGTTTTTCTTGCAAGGTAAAAATATAGCTTGGCTCTTTTCACTCATTTTAAATGATTTTTTACTCCACATCCTCAAAGTCACATAGTGTGAACCATATATTTTTTTTTTTTTCTGGCTTGATGAGTTACATGAGCCACCACCAATCAATTTATCCACCATTGATATTTTATAGCCCTGAAACAAATCTATTTATCAATACTATATGGGAAATGAAAAAAATAATGATAATCTACCAGTCACAGGACTCCTTCCTCATTAATTGTGAAATTTGATTGCTGCTACAAATGTTTCTCCTTTTATCATATACAAAACATAACCTGAATCAGTTTCTTTGTAGTAAAGAAATAATGGTCACTTGAAATTATTTATTTTTACTTTGTCCTTTACCAGTACATGTTTGACCACATGGACAAATAAATTGAAGAATATGATAATATACAAATACTAAACTAAGAAATTCACTTATTTATAAAAGTTAAATCCTTCCTTCCTTCCTTCCTTCCTTCCTTCCTTCCTTCCTTCCTTCCTTCCTTCCTTCCTTCCTTCCTTCCTTCCTTCCTTCCACCCTCTAGGACCCATCAAATACATCTTTCTAGCAAATAAGACCCATAGTATGCCACGTTTTTGAAGTGATGATACCTTGTACTGGGAACATCACACAGTGAGGGCCAAAGGCAACATCTCTTTGCCAATCACCACAGTCTGGAATGTAAATCAGAGAAAGAAGACAAACCAGAAAAAAACAGTGCTACCCACACTGATCCTCTGAGTTTATATAGAAGGGTAGAATGTTTGTTGGTTTTGAAAGCCACTTGGATCTAGAGGAGGTGGCTTAGCTCATAGCCCTAAGGACCGATCCATTTTCTCAGACTCAATAGATTCAAACTATTCCCAGATAGCCAGACTGCTCCACAGGCATTGCCTCCCCCCCCCCCCGGATCTGTGAACAAATTACAGCAACTTTGTCTGATAGATTCTAACATAATCAAGAGATGCATGCAGCAACTGAACAAGTGACAACTCTGTGCTACAATTCTCTCCATTTATCTCTTGATATTTAAATATTCTGCAATATCAATACATATTTAATTGTTTATGGATTGTCTCATTTAATATCCAATTGAAGTTATGATGTTATTGAAGGAGCATATTTCTTAGAGATCCTCATAGTTGCTGCTCATTGCAGTTTCATGATCACAAAGTTAAAATTCAGATACTTGGTAATCAGGGCACAATCATTTATTTATTCATCACATTTTAAAACCAACCACATCCTTCACAGATGACTCTTGAGTGGTATACCAAGAAAATATTAATGTCTTGTAAACAGTATATAAAAATGGATAGTCGCAAGGGAGAAAAATGTTAAGGACTCTTTTTGCAAAATTTATTAACTTCTGATTCAGATTGAATCTTGACATCTATAAGGGACATAAAAACTAATTCAGAGGAACAGCCAGAAGAAAATTTGAATTTCAACAGTTCAGAATGTACAAGTGTGAGCACTCAGATATTGTTTGTAACATTTCATTGCAGTTAGCCAAAATATTCTACTGAAGTATTCTACTGTTCTTCTTTATAAGCAATTTTCCTAAAGGAGAAGAAAATTATTGTCACTTGATAGAAAGTTCTAGGGCTTTTGATGATGATGGTGAAGCTATGTTCAGATTTATGTACCTGTTCCAGGTTCCAGAAACTGCAGCATGTAATGAACCTGAATTTTATATTGGAGTAGGGGAAAGTTTGCATTGAATCAATGGGCAAATTGAACTCCATATTCACAAATTTTTCTTTGTTAATTGCTCCTTTGTATTCAAATCAGGTCTCAAAATAATGATGTAGCATTTGGGGAAAAATATGCAGCCCAGTAATCCGGCTGCAGAAGCCAAAATGGAAAAGATCTCCATAGCCACCATATATTTGCCCTTTGTGCTCAAGTAGGTGGGAACAAATGATATCCACACACTACAAAAGACCAACATGCTAAAGGTGATAAATTTGGCTTCATTAAAGCTGTCAGGTAAGCTCCTAGCTAGGTAGGCAACTGAGAAGCTAATAGCAGTCAAGAATCCCAGAAAACTAAGAACGGTATAAAACATGGTGGTTGAACCTTCATTACATTGTAAGACAATTTCCTCAGCCATAGAGTGCATGTCAGAATCTGGGAATGGGGGAGAGATTGCCAGCCATGCTAAACAGATCGTGAGTTGAGTCAAAGAGCAAGAAAGGACAATGGAAAGAGCCATCCTTTTCCCCACCCATTTTTGTATTTTGGAGCCTGGCTTTGTGGCCATGAAAGCAAGAACCACTATGGTTGTTTTACCCAAAATACAAGAAAGGTCTACAGAGAAAATAATACCAAAAGCAGTTTGACGCATGAGACATTTCACTTGATCAGGTTGCCCAAGGAAAAGGAAAGTGCAGAGGAAGGAGAACAGAAGGGCAACGAGAAGGGTATAAGTGAGGTTCCTGTTGTTGGCTTTGACAATGGGGGTGTCCTGCTTTTTAATGAAGGTTCCCAGCATCATAATGGTGACGACAGAAAAGAATAGACTAACAATGGACAAAGAGACTCCCAGTGGCTCATTGTAAGATAAGAAAGTAATTTTTTTTAGAATGCAAAGGGTCTGAGCCTTGTTTGGATATCGATCTTCTAAACACTGGAAGCAATCAACTGCATCTGGAATAAGAAAAGATAATAATAATAATAGTAAAGTTGGAAGGGACCTTGGAGGTCATCTAGTCCAACCTCCTGCTCAGGCAGGAAACCCTACACCATTTTGGACAAATGGCTGTCCAATCTCTTCTTAAAAACCTCCAGTGATGGAACACCCACAACTTCTGGAGACAAGCCGTTCCACTGATTAATTGTTCTCACTGTTCAGGAAATTTCTCCCTAGTTCTAGATTGCTTCTCTCCTTGATTAGTTTCCACCCGTTGCTTCTTGTCCTGCCTTCAGGTGCTTTGGAGAATAGCTTGACTCCCTCTTCTTTGGGGAAGCCCCTGAGATATTGGAATACTGCCAGTTTCTGCCAGATGATGGCCAGTTTCAACAAATAATCAAGTAGCAGAACTGAATGTTAATTTAGCAGATTAATTTATTCCTAATTAAGCACGACCTGCTTGTATTTAGTTCCTGGCTATCAAGGAACTGTGGTGGGGAGAAAATGAAAAGCATTAAGTGGGAGGAAAGTATATATTACGTTGTATGATTATTTAATGGAGATAAACTCCTAATTCAGCAACTGCATACTAGCTCTATCCCTTTCCTTTAATACACACAAATTTCAGCATTAATTTAGAAACCATAATTGGAACCATCTAGAACAAATAAGATGAGAAGTTTATTTCTGAATTCTTTGAAATATATTTTCATTTTTGGTTTTTATAAAGAAATATTATTGACTAAAAGCCTTTTGTAGGTAGTATAAATATTACCATTCTGAACCATGGTTACTGTTGTGTCCTGAGCCTGCAAAGGCAGTCTTGGGACATTGCAATGATCCCGGGTAGTTGGAAGCTGCCCTGGACCAGACTGGCTGGTGCCGGCTTCGCACGCATGCGTGAGGCGCGGAGTGCGCCAAATGTTGCCATTTGGCCTGGGGAAGCGTTCTTAAGAGAAGCAGAGAGGCCTGCGAGCCTCAGAGCTGTAGCGGAGCAGGAGAGACTACAATAAAGGCTTCTTGACACTACAAGATGTTCTGTGCTTATTTGCCATTAAGCTGAAGACTTAACACTGGCGACGAAGGTGGGATGCCTTACAATTAATTAAGAAGAATTGTAAGCTTACCCAGGAATCCTGAGAGCAGCTAGGAAAATGGCGTTAAATTCAGCACCTGCCTGCCAGTACAGCGTCGCTGGAGGTAAACTGGCTGATAGACCCCTTCCTTACAAAAGGAGAAAATGGCGAAGATAGGGAGACTCTCTGAATTTGATGTCACGCACCCAGAAAGATGGGAGTCTTATGTGGCCAGAGTAGAAAACTATTTTAGAGTAAACCAAGTAAGAGAAGATGGCTTAAAGGCCGCTACCTTGCTGTGTGTTTGTGGTCAAGATGCATTTGAAATTGCTGAAAACTTAGCAGCCCCTGTGCCTCTTGAATCTGTCACCTACACAGATTTAAAAAAATTACTAAAAGAACATTTTCAGCCCAAGTTGTCTGTTATTGCATGGAGACATACTTTTGAACAGAAGGATCAACGGGCTGGTGAATCAGCTAAAGAATACATTGCAGCTTTGAGAAGAGCAGCTAAGCCTTGTGAGTTTAAAGACTTAGAAGAAAGGCTGAGAGACAGATTTGTATATGGGCTTAGAAACAGAGACTTGCAGCAGAGACTTTTTGCAAAGGAAGACATATTGTTCCAAGATGCCTTGAGAGAGGTTACTGCAGAAGAGGCAGCAGGTGGGGCAATCAAGAATATGAGGCCTATCAGAAGCACTCCAGAAGCTGTTTCTGTGCACCATAAGGGAGTCCAGGAGAGCTCTAAAGAGGATCCTGAAGAAGAGGTGGATCATCTCTACCCAGCCAAAGAAAGGAAGCAGAAGGAAGGCAAAGAAAAGTCTTCAGCTGTACCCAAGTGTTTCGGGTGTGGAGGTCGCCACAAGAGGACCGACTGCAGGTTCCGTTCTGCAATCTGTAGAGCATGTGAGAAGCAAGGCCACATAGCAGCTGTGTGTCTGGGCGGTCAGAAGGTACAACCCCGAGAAGAATTGCGCCTGAAAGGTACCATGGTCCCCAGCCAAAACAGGGTTGGTTTCTGTGCTTCATGAAGAAGTATTTATAGGACAGGCACACACAAGCCACTCAAAAAGAAACTGTCACTTAAAGTATAGTTGCAAGGAGTTCCATTGGTTATGGAACTAGACACTGGGTCTGCACTTTCAATTATTTCCATTCACACATTCAGAAAGATTTGCTCTAGCAGTGGGTTCCAGGCCAAGCTTAGGGCACCCAATATAGTTCTAACAGATTTTCAAAACTCCAAAGTGTGTGTTAAGGGGGAGGCCACCCTTAATGTACAATATAAGGATTTTGAAGGTTCATTAGATATATTGGTAGTTGGGGGTGAGCGCACGAGTCTCATAGGACTCGATTGGTTTGAGGCCTTGGGAATACAAGTTACAGGGCTTAATAGTTTGCAAACAGTAGGTCTACAAGAAGTCTGCAAAGAATTTGCAGATATCTTCAGCCCACAGCTGGGTACATACAAAGGGCCCCCAGTTTCCTTAAAGTTAGACCCCACTGTCACTCCTATCAGAGTAAAAGCAAGGAGAGTACCTTTTGCTTTAAAAGGAAAAATTGATGCTGAATTGGACAAATTGATTCAGCAAGGAGTCTTAGAACCTGTTGACTCCAGTCCTTGGGAAACTCCCATAGTCACGCCTCTTAAGGCTAATGGGGACATTCGCATCTGTGCAGATTACAAATGCACCCTAAATAAGGCATTGCAACAACATGCCTATCCTGTACCTGTAGTCAGCCATATTCTGGCTTCCCTCAAGGGGGGCGTGTTTTTGCAAAGCTAGATTTAGCACAGGCTTATCAACATTTACCTGTTGATGAAGCTGCTGCTGTAGCACAAACCATTGTAACACACAGGGGGGCATTCAAAGTCAAAAGACTACAATTTGGAGTAAATGTGGCTCCTGGAATTTTCCAAAGCGTAATGGAAAATACCTTGAGGGATATACCAGGGGTTGCCCCTATGTTGATGATGTCTTAATTGCTGGAGATTCCACTCAAAATTTAGCTGAGAGATTGAGGGCTGTCTTGCTGTGGTTCCGGAAAACAGGCCTCAAGCTTAAAAAAGACAAATGTAAAATTGGGGTGCCTTCTACAGATTTTCTGGGATTCAAAATTGATGCCACTGGCATTCATCCTGCTGAGTCTAAACTAAAGGCTATTATGCAAGCTCCTAGGCCTAAGTCCAAAGCTGAACTACAAGCTTTTCTGGGCCTTTTGAATTTCTATAATGCTTTCATTCCTAACAAAGCTAATATAGCTGAACCACTTCATAGGCTTCTGGACAAACAGGCAGTTTGGCAGTGGTCACAAGCACATGAAGCAAGCTTCAATGAGGTTAAGGCCTTACTTATATCCAATAATGTGCTTGCACATTTTAATGAAACTCTTCCTGTGTGCATCGCTTGTGATGCCTCCCCTTATGGAGTGGGAGCAGTACTTAACCATCTAAGACCTGATGGAACTCAGGTTCCTGTTGCTTATTACTCCAGAACCTTGTCTTCTGCTGAGCGAAACTACGCTCAGATAGACAGGGAGGCCTTAGCTGTTGTTGTGGGAATTAAAAAATTCCATGATTTTTTATATGGCAGGCATTTCATGGTCTACACTGACCATAAGCCTTTGTTGGGATTCTTTACTACAAACAAACAAACCCCCCATATCATCTTCCCTAGGATGCTGAGATGGTCCATCTTTCTGTCAGCCTATGATTTTTCTTTAGTTCACAAACCTGGCAAAGAAATGGGCCATGCTGATGGCCTCAGTAAATTATCCTTACAAGTAGTGGAGGCTGATCCTGCCCCTGCCATCACCATCCTTTCCATTCTGGTGCTGCCTGAGTCACCTTTAAATGCCAGGGATGTGGCTGCTGAATCAGCCACAGACCTCACACTCACTCGTGTCTTATCCTGGGTTTTGTCTGGATGGCCAGAGAGTTGTCCAGGTACTGAGTTTCAGAGCTTCTGGCTTAAGAAACATGAGTTATCCACTTTTCAGGGTTGTCTGCTGTGGGGCAGCAGAGTTGTTATTCCTACCTCAATGAGATCTAGGGTCTTAGGTTCCCTTCATGAGGGCCATCCTGGCATTGTAAGAATGAAGGTGCTTGCGCGCAGCCATTTGTGGTGGCCTGGGTTAGACAAGGAAATTGAGGCTAAGGTGCACGCATGCCAGTCAGTGCTCATGCCCAGAAATGCCCCAGGCTCCTGTACATAGATGGGAGGAAACACAGTCACCTTGGTCTAGGGTGCACATCGATTACGCTGGGCCCTTTCAGGGTCAATTCTTCTTGGTCCTAGTTGATAGCTATTCAAAGTGGCTTGAGGTTGTACCTGTCTCTTCAACCACCGCTGCCAAGACCATTCAAGTACTGAGGGGGATTTTTGCTGCACATGGGCTTCCGGATGTTTTGGTGTCTGGCAATGGGCCTCAATTCACCTCTTCCAAATTCCAAGCTTTCTTACAGGCCAACATGATTCGTCATGCCACCTCTGCACCATTCCACCCTTCCACCAATGGTATGGCTGAACGGATGGTCCGCATCACCAAGGATGCTTTAAAAAAACTGACCTATGGAGACTGGCACCACAAGTTGGCAGACTTTCTTCTTGCATACAGCACCACACCTTTAACTTCTACTGGGAAAAGCCCAGCTGAACTTCTCTGGGGGCGCAAACTGATTACTAAACTTGACCGGTTGCACCCGGACAGATTGCCTCCTAAGGCTACTCAACCCAGGGCACCGAGGTATCTGCAAGTGGGTGCCCCGGTATGGACCTGTAATTACGGGCCAGGTCACTTGTAGGTTCCTGCTGTAGTATGCAAGGTTACTCGTCCCTTGTCGTACGAGGTATCATTGGATGACAGTCATGTCCTTCGGTGACATATCGACCAGCTGCGTACAAGACTGGACTTACCCTAAGAAACTCCTGGGCCTTTTCCAGGTGGGGAGGGGGACCTCTATGGGCAAAGGGATGGGTGTTGGCAGCAGCCGGGCCCCAACTGAGAGGCCACAGATGGCCTATTCCAAGATTCTGCAAGTGTTCCAAACAGGAATCCATGGGAACTAGGAAGCACACAGGCACCAGTGCCTACTCCAGCCAGGGAGTCACCTAGGGGGCATACTCATCATTCACCAATACCATTCAGTACTCCAGTCAGGGAGAATAACCGGGAGCATTCTAATAACTCAAACATTGCAAGAGAGCTGGCACATAAACAGTCTATTTGGCCCAGTACTGCTGCTGTTTCCAGAAGGAGGCATTCACATAGGGAGGTGGTCGGAGAGGCAAATCCCAATTCTGACACCTCCGGCACAGATGGGGGGGCAACTGAGTTTTGGGGAAATACTGAAACTCCAGACAGTCCCATTACGGGACTGGGGAGCGAAGGAATGCAGCCCCTTGATAGGTCCAGTGTGGGCCTGGGAGGCTCTACAGAGTTGCCTAACAGTGGCAGTTTATTAGAGGGGCCAGACAGCCTGCAACTAGGCAGGTCAACCAGGTTATTGGGAGAACGAAGTCCTGGTCTGATGAGCCCGGTGGGCAAGCAAGCAGACCAGGCAACGGGGCACGGTCCATGGGGACCACCAGGGTCTGAAAGAGGAGACAACTTCATGTCATCCTCTGGGCAAAATGGAATTGGGGATTCTCAGGGTCTAAGGAGGTCACAGAGAGTCAAGAGATCTCCTAAGTACCTTGAGGACTTTGTAACTCTGCTGGCAAAGCAAAAACAGTGAGAGGGTGTCTGCTGTTGGGAACAATGGAAATACGGGCATTGGGTATTAATCCCCAGAACAATAGCCCGGTACCATTTGGAGCATGGGTTGGCACATCACGCTTGTGTTGAGTTGCGTGTAACTATTCATATAATTTATTAGTCTTAGCCGGGGGGGGGGGGAAGGAGTGTTGTGTCTGGAGCCTGCAAAGGCAAGCTTGGGACGTTGCAATGGTCCCGGGCAGTTGCAAGCTGCCCGGGACCAGACTGGCTGGCGCCGGCTTTGCACGCATGCGCGAGGCGCGGAGCGCACCAAATGTTGCCATTTGGCCCGGGGAAGCATTCTTAAGAGAAGCAGAGAGGCCTGGGAGCCTCAGAGCTGTAACAGAGCAGAAGAGACTACAATAAAGGCTTCTTGACACTACGAGATGTTCTGTGCTTATTCGCCATTAAGCTGAGGACTCAACAGTTACGAAAATTGAATACTCTTGCACAGGACCACTCTTACCCATCTGGTTTGAAATTTCCCCTTTTGCACATGGAAGGCAATCATAACAGCAAAATGGCTTCCCTTCTATTTTCATCTTCCTGTATCCTGGATAGCAATTGTCATTGCATACAGAAAGCGGTTGGACCTATCAAAAAGTGAAAGCAGGATTTATTGCAAAGCACACATTTTTTTCTAGAAAAGTCTATTTCAGAATGGATTTTATTTTTAAATAATAAATGTTGGATGTGGGTGTTCCAAAATCTCCTTGCTTTAGAGAAATTATAGTGAATTACAGGTAAGGAGACCTAGAATCAAAAGTGAAGGAAGGTACCCTAAGAATTGGAGAGGTGAAGATGGCATCATTTCACTAGGTGAAAGTCAAGATCCAGAAGAGCTGTTTATCTTATATAAATTAGCTGGAAATAGAGAATTATATATTTTCCTTGAGTTTTAATTTCTTTTTCTCCTTTTGCCCCCAAATGCCCAGGGGTTCTGTCTGAACTAGAGTTAACATGATCATTGATATGGGATTCCCCATTTCTTTTTGCTTCCCTAGCCATGTCAGGAAAGTAAATACCATGTAGGATACGACCAAGTTGAGCCTGACGGTGCAGTCAAAGCATAAACAATCTGGGGTCCCTTTGTACACAAAAGAGATATAAGTACCACCTCCAATTGAAATCCTGTTGACTCTTATCTTGTGCCAAATTGCCTTGGCAGTTAGTAGATCACATTCTTGCTCATAGCTAGCATGAAATAAACTTTTATCACTTTTGAAATCTATCTTTGTTCCTGATTTTTTTTCCCCTTACACAACAATTGCCTTCATTCAGTTGGTCATATCTTTCAAGTATTGGTGGAAAAAGAAGAAAATTAGGAGCAACAGTTTTATCCTTCTTTATTGAATAGGTAAAGATAGACACTATGCAGAAGATGTAGAGAAGACATTAACACTAGAAAAGAAACCAACAACAACTTTAAAAAGAAATTGAAGGAGTGGGATATTTCAGTGGCTATTGTGACAAGTCAATCCGTTCAAATGATTGAATTATTTCCAAATAAGGTCTCTGAGGAGAAGCAAGAAACAAAATATAGATAGTTGCAAATGATTTTCAGAGCACTAAGAACAACACAATGGAATGAGAAGAAAGAAGAACAAGTCAATCATTCCTGGATCTAATAGAGACTGCTTCCCAGATACAATGATTAGCAAATGGAAACTGTCAAACTCGGGCTAGACTATTCAAAGAAAGGAAAGACTAGAGAAGAAATACTATGTTTGACAAGGCTGAAGAAGAATAAGAGGACAATGGATTAGCTGAAATTACAAGATCAAAGCAAATTCTTAAATATCTATGGAGTGAGGAGTTATTATATCAAAATGATGAGCATATATCCATATGGTGATTATGGTTTCAACAATAATAATATTGTATAAACATGATTCCTCCTTTAAAATTAAAAATAATTTCATCTTGCATGGAATCTGGAAATACAACTTGAATAAAATCAGTGTCACTGTTTGGAATTTAGTTATGGATTTTGCAAAAATACCATCTTGTATTGTGGAACTTCTGCAGCATATACAATACAGTCATTAAACTGTATAATTTAAACTCAGCCAACCTTGAAATCCTAGCAAGAGTAGACAGCATCTATTGAATTATATTCTACTAAAATCATAATGATTTGATGAAGAGATGTCACAAACTTATTTTAACACTTGCCATAAAAAGATTTCAGTCTCTGCATTTCAAAATTGCTGCTCATTATTTCTTCAAGTTGGCAGTCTTCAATCTGACAATCTGAAGGACAAGTTCAAATCTATATTACTATAGTAATTATATTATATTATCATAGTAATATAATCTATATTACTATATTACAGAGAAGGGAAAAATGCATATTGTAGTTTGAAATCTGAGCAGGAAATACCTGGTTAAACATGGCAGGCCAGATGATGTCTTCTGTAGAAATGACAAATAGATTATCTGAAGAAGGTGTTTGGTCGATCTTTCCAACTTTGACTTTGACAAAGCTCTTGTTTGGGAAGGTGACCCAGTTGATAATGTCAAATCCAGTGTTCAAGTCTCCATTTTCATTAAAAGAGACTTTTTGTCCTGCAGTGTTATTAAAAGAGATGGTTCTCAAATAGTGATGGAGCTAAATAAAAAATTAATGGAAAAAAGGAAGAAAGGAAGGAAGGAAGGAAGGAAGGAAGGAAGGAAGGAAGGAAGGAAGGAAGGAAGGAAGGAAGGAAGAGGAGGAGGAGGAGGAGGAGAGGGAGGATACCAGTGGTATTAGGCTATGGATCATCCATTTAATATAATTGAGCACATTAATAGAATTAGTATTGCACAAACAGTCATCTTGTTTCTTCTCTGCCACAGATGTTTGAACCTCTGAGAATCACACAGATTCTGTAGCATCTAAACCAGTGGTTCTCAAACTGTGGGTCGGGACCCCATTTGGGGTCAAATGACCGTTTCACGGGGGTCGCCAAACAAGGCTGTCTGCCATTTTTTCCTCCTTTTCTTTGGCCACGCCCCTGGCACCTGGTGATGTATAAGTGGTTGGGGGTCACCACAACATGGGGAACTGTATTATGGGGTTACGGCATTAGAAAGGTTGAGAACCACTGATCTAAACCTTTTTCTCCATATTGTTATAGTTTTTTTTATCTATTCACAATTGCAAAACTTTTCAAATTTTGGAAGGATGAGGAAAATGGAGAGATAGTAGACACTCCTATCACTCCAATATTCTCATTGGCCTTATACTTTGTTCTGCAGCTCTTTGATTAGAACAAGATTAATGGGAAATCTTTATGCATTCTCTAATTACCTGCCAGGCGTTTTGAGTCAAAAATGTTTCTCTCCCAGCTTTTAGTGTCCTCTGTTTAAATGTGGGGGAAAGCATGACTTGTAAAGCATGTGCCACAGCATAAACTGCATTATAGATGCTGTAACTCTGCCCAGTCATGGTGGTATCAAACACAGACTTAGGTACATTCTCAAACTTCTCTTCTCCAGTGCACAGCTTACCATCATCTACCAATGCATGAGCAAAGGTGCAATCAAAAACCTGTTTCCAAAACACTCTCATTAATTGGTCTTCCTCTCCTGAAGTTGGCTTTGTCATCTGAAGAAATTTATTGAATCCAGGGATCTCCTTGGAAGAGACTTCAAAAGTTATAGCACCGTGGAAAGAATCCATAGTCAACATTTTGAGAAGGGAAAATGATGTAAATTCCATTTGAGCTGGCATTATCCAAACTTTATCTTTTCTCTTGACTGGTTTCTCTACCGTTTCTTCAAAATAGGGCAAAAGTAAAATAGTGATAGTATAATGGTTTTCACAGTATAGAATTATCACATTTGCAGTGCTTTTCATGGTAATAATATATAGTTTACGGAAATCATTAAGTATACTTTGAACATAATTGATAAATGTTGGCTGAGCTGTCTCTTCCATGAAGTCGAAACAGATTCCTTTCTGGGAAAACAAATTAACAGCATTTTCTATGAACTTTTCATCACTCTTTTCAAGTTGGAAAATCAGTCCAACCCATGTCCACTTTAAATACAACAGCAGCTGGAAAAAACCCATAATCTCTTGATCACCATTTGGGAAAAATTGATGAAAGAAAACACTTTGTGTCTTGCTCTGTATTGATGGAGAAGATCCATAAATGAGCTAAACATTGGGGAAAGAGGGAACATGGTTTTCCAAAATGAAATACTCATTATTTTTAAAAATGCTGTTCTTAATTTATTTTGTTTGTTGCAAATATTGAAAGATATCTAATCAATTTCAGAAACAAATGTGGAATTTTTATACAACAGCTGTTACTGTAATATAAGTTCAAAGTGAGAAACATCTGTTGTAGAATTGAAAGATTTGAGTCAGCTCTTTCCAGGAAAGGGAAGTTTATTGCGCAGGTTCAGAGAGCCATCATGGCTAAAGAATCTGAACACAGACTGTACATTGATGACCATTTTTATAATCCTTCAGGCGGGGGTTATTTCCTGAGCAGGTCACATTCCATACCACATTCTATAGGTCCTTTTCTAACATAGGAAAACTACTAGACAGATCTATAATCGATAGTTCTTCATTTACATTGGAATGCTTTTAGCAATCAGCAATATATCAAGTGTTAAGCAGTTTAGTTACACCATGTGACAGGCAGTTAGTAATATATCATGTGCAGAGCTGGGAACAGGATGTCTGGCCATCCTAAATTTAAGAGTTGTCTAGTAAGCAAAACAAACCTCCCTTTTACACACAATCTTTGGTGGGCCATCTGCTTTTTACCCACATTCATTGTCAGACCATTAATATTTTTCCAGGTACCACTTTACATCAAATATATATTAATTCAGGAAATATTATAGTGAAAATCAACCACATGTTTTAAGGTCTAATGTCATGGTTCCGATAGATGAAACCTATCAAAAGAACTTCAAGGAAAAAAATTCTTCCTTATTCAGGAAACAAAGTATTGGCACTACATAGTTGAACCCAAAAACTAAATTCCCTTCCCCCCACACAAAATAACAAAGTGCAATTCCCACCCCAATAAGCTGTCGTAAATTACATTCTCCAATTAGCCTAAAACATGTGCTTTCTCCCCAGTTCCTCAGCCCGCCAAAACATTATCAGTTTGTTCTTGGGTTCCCACAAAGTAAAGTTATTATTATGGCTAGCTGAGCTCAAGCATTCATCCCACCCACCCCCTTCTGCACCTGATTTCTAAATACTAGAAAAAGCATGTTAAAAGCAAAGAGAAAATGGCTGCAATTTTCATCAGTTGTCAGAGCGTGAACATCCAATGTTTACAGCGTTGACATCTAAATCTTCTAGGTTCTAATTGAGGAAGGAAACCCATACACATATATCACCATTTTTCTCCTCATAGGAAATGGAAGACATTTCAAGAAATGAAGTAATGATGGGATGAAGGTGAAATAGGATGAGTAATTGAAGAACATCGTTTCAGCTATTTATCTTTTAGTTCTAGTATTTTTGCTAAGTACTTGATGCATTTTACAGTGTGATGAGCTATAAGGGAATTAATGGTAAATAAATATTTTATTTGAATTTCATATTGATTCATTTGTAATACATAGGTTAATTTTTTGTTACTTGAGTCATCATGAAAAATTCATGGAGAGAGAGGAAGGAAGGAAGGAAGGAAGGAAGGAAGGAAGGAAGGAAGGAAGGAAGGAAGGAAGGAAGGAAGGAAGGAAGTATATTCTGCAATATAAAGATCAAGATAAATATTCCCTTTACTTCATCAAGTCCATGAATCCTTTACTTCATTATTAAACATGGTAAGAAAATGGATGCATGAAATGAACTGATATTTCTTTAGAGTGAATTAATAAATAACTCAAGGAATTCAATTGATTCATATTCATATTGATGAATAAATCTAGCAGAGTAGCAAAACGTATCCATCTCATCTGCAAATTAATAACTTGTTCGTCCCTCTTTGGGTTGCCACTTTATTTCCAATTCACAAAATGTAATATAAAAGGGGAAAAAATTATTTGTTGTTTTTTAAAAAAATAAGTTTGTAAAAGTAAAAAGGAGGGAGCATTTTTAGACTTGCAAGATTCTTTATGGTAACTTTACAATAGAAGATTTCAGGATTTTGTTTTTTAGTCTGCATAATCTTGAAAGGCTGACATCAATCTTGAAAATTGGATAGTATTCTCTCTCCTGCCTTTATGTTCCAAAGAATGAAGTGTGTTAGGCCCAGATTATATTTATCAGAGTGTTGTAATTGCCTGCAGCTCTTTCTCCTGCCTTTCAAGATTGTTCTTATAGTCCACTAAAACTTTGTTCAAAAACAAATCTTACCTGAGGCATCTTGTAGACATTCAAAATGTTTGCCATGAAAGGAAAGATGGAAGAGTTAGGTCCTGCAATGACACAAACCACCCAATCCTTGACATCACACTTGTAGTTGGGCATGAATCTGCCCTGTGTTGAAACAAGCTCCATAGAAGCCAGGTTAGTCCATGTCGCCATGAAATAACTATTAAAGATTTGAAGACCCAGACTGATGTTGGATAATATGTTATTGTTTTCATTTATCTCCTTTATAGCAAAAACCAAGGCTAGGATATGTTGATAGTTCTGTAGAAAATATCTGTAATGAGAGATATATTATAAATCATATTTCTCCTCCTGAAAAATGACATCATAGAACCACCAATATTGTGATGGATGGATATGAAAACTGATGACATAATTTTATAGTAATGGAAATACTTTGCAAAGATTTTTTTCATAGTGTCTAAAAATGTGGTTTTTGATGAAATGGAAAATGCTCCTGGGAAATGTGTGTATGTGTATATATGTACGAAAACAAATATATATATTTATTTATATAAAATTATTTATAATGAATAAAAAGAAACATAACATTCTGCCTGGAACAACTGTTATCTATATCTATATCTATATCTATATCTATATCTATATCTATATCTATCTATCTATCTATCTATCTATCTATCTATCTATCTATCTATCTATCTATCTATCTATATCTTTAATAGATAGATATAGATATAGATATAGATATAGATATAGATATAAATATATATATATTACAGTTGTTCCAGGCAGAATGTTATGTTTCTTTTTATTCATTATAAACAATTTTCACTAAGAAACAGATGAATTGCTTGAAAGAACATTAATAATCCTATTAAAACATATCAGTAACTCTTAGGCATACTATAAGTTATACCCAGTTAGTTACAAAGGGTGATTTGAGAGTAGAGCATTTAAAGAGTAAGAAAATGGGGAAATCACTGAGTTGAGAGCTGTTATAAGTGTCTTTGTATAAAATATTTATTTGTCCAGTAAGAAATATCAGTGTAATCAATCTACATTGGTTTTAGAATGAAGGAACTAACAGCAAGAAACAAAACAAATAATTTGTGCTGCAAGTAATACGTGTAATCAACTATGCTCAGCCAACCTATTGGAAAAAGTTATATGGTTTAAGATATGCTACAGGTAAGTGAAAGTCTTTACACAATCTCATCAACCAGATGTTCAGAGGGGTGCCTTGTGAAACCAACTCGATCTGATATCATGTAGAATTGAGATAGTATCCCAGCCACTATGAAATCCCCTGGCCGAAAATACTTGTGCTTAATAAGGGAAAGTTTCTCCATAGCACATGCTTTGGTACAAAGAATAAGGCATGTAACTCCTGACAGTAACACTGACAATGTTGCCATCACTGCCATGGAAAATATCATCTTCTTCAAGAAAATGTTTGTCACCACATATGAACCAGGTCCACCTGCAACACTGAAACATAAGGGGGAAAAAAATCCTCCCAGTGATTAGAATAGCCTCTATAAATATTCTTTCCCAAATAGCAAATTGCTGCAGCTCTAACATTTTGGTTGCACAATTAACAATACTTTTCATCAACCCTGAGCCGTTCTGGGTAATTGTCCCTTGAAATTCCTCAATGATTTGAGAAGAATCTACTTTACAGGTATTCCTTAGGTAATTATAGGGGAAATCAATGGACAGTCAGTGACGCTCCTTTGAGGTTTTGAGTAGAAATCAGAATGATGATATTTATGGACTAAGAAAAGGTACTCATAGCTGCAAAGTGTATGGGAGCTAGAGGGAAAAAAAAAAAGAAAATGTAAATGCAAATGAACAAATGCTAGTTCTGTAGCTGTAAACTTTTCATTCTGTGGAACAATACAACTACCCAACTTTCTCATTAGGAAGCACATTAAAGGGTGACTTTTCCAAAAAGCCAAAGAGAAACGGACCCATCATATTATAGGATCACACTCACATTTTTTATTGTTTTGAGGTTTAAGCACTTTGGTTATTGTTATGATATTTCTTTTTAACATTCACAAGGGAGTTAATTTGTAAGCTGCTCAGATTCCTTTGGTTTGGGAGCAGTGTGTAATGCCTAGTGAGCAACCAGATAAAAAGGAATAACATTGGAGACAAGTTTTTGATTGATCCACCTTTAGAGAGTGAATCAATTTCAGAAGAGAAAGTTCTTAATATTAAGAGGAATATAGTTTTGAACACTGTTTTTATTGAAAACTAATTTATAAATAGTAAAAATATAACTAGGCTTTTTTCATTTGTTTCAAATGGTTTTTAATCTGTCTCCTCAAAGTCTCCTGATCTGGACCATATTTTTGTGTCTGTGTTTGTGTGTGTGTGTGATGACTGACACGATCCTCTACCTGATTTAACCAATTATCCACCATTGATATTTTATAGCCCTGCAACAAATATTTTTGATCACAAAAATGGGAAATGGGAAATCAATTAGAGCACTCCTTCCTCTTTAATTGTGAAATAACTTTAGGAAGTCCATTTATTTATAAATGTTAAATCCTTCCTTCCTTCCTTCCTTCCTTCCTTCCTTCCTTCCTTCCTTCCTTCCTTCCTTCCTTCCTTCCTTCCTTCCTTCCTTCCTTCCTTCCTTTCTTTCTTTCTCAGGACTCATAGGATGCTACTTCTATATATCGATTATATCTGATCACATGACAACCAAAGCAGACTCATCTAGATATTTAAGAGGAATCAAAAGAGTATGGATACTGCAGAACATCACACAGTAGTAGCAGTGGTGGGATTCAAATATGTGAACAACCGGTTCTTTGTGTGGATGCCACTTCCAGAAAAGTCCATTCTGGGCCTGGGCAACAAAAAATTAGCTACCAAACTGGTGCAAACTGGCTGAATCCCACCACTGAGTAGTAGCCCAGGGAAAGATCTCTCCCCAAATCACAATGGGGAAAAGGTGGCAAAGTGGCATAACACAATGCTGTCCAATTCACAGACCTAAGGATCTATCCACTTCCTCAGGCACAATGGGTTCAACCTATTCCCAAATATTGGAGCAAGACTCCTCCACAGGCACCCCCACCTGGACCTGCAATAAGGCCGACTCCAACTGTGAACGTATTTCAGCAATTTTGTGTGATAGATGCTAGCAAATAATTTCACGTGCCCACACAAGGATTTCTCTGGATTTCCTATACCCAGGAGTACATTTGTCACCCCCAAACAGGGCTACAGAATTATATATGCAGATGCAATAAGAGTGGTGGAAAATTGGCACTGTGTCATCATTTCTGCCACAATGTAAGACTTAGTAACAGCCCCAGCTCATATTTGGTTGAGTTTGTCATTTGTGAAGTCCCAGTTATGATCTTGATATCTCTTGTTTCACCTCCCTTAATTCTTCAGTGAAGCATGGGATAGGATTAGTTCTGTGAGAAAGGATAGGTTGCATGGGTGCAATTTGATTCAAAGCCTCATCTTTGAATCTGATTCCAAAGAGTGAACAATGCTTCAGATGGACAATGCAGCAGGAACATCCCCCAACTCTCCCTGATATCCATCCAGATCTATAAGTGTACATAGGGTGGAACAATATAATGGGCTCATTCTCCCTGAAGCGGATATTGGGGGGAAGAGAATTTCATATTCATATTAGTAAAGTTGGAAGGGACCTTGGAGGTCATCTAGTCCAACCCCCTGCTCGGGCAGGAAACCCTACACCATTTCGGACAAGTGGTTGTCCAGTCTCTTCTTAAAAACTTCCAGTGTTGGAGCATTTACTGCTTCTGGAGGAAAGCTGTTCCACTGATTAATTGTTCTCACTGTCAGGAAGTTTCTCCTTAGTTCTAGGTTGCTTCTCTCCTTGATTAGTTTCCACCCGTTGCTTCTTGTCCTGCCTTCAGGTGCTTTGGAAAATAGCTTAATTCCTCTTCTTTATGGCAGCCCCTGAGATATTGGAATACTGCTATCATGTCCCCCCTTGTCCTTCTCTTCGTTAAACTAGACATACCCAATTCTAGCAACCGTTCCTTATATGTTTTAGCCTCCAGTCCCCTAATCATCTTTGTTGCTCTTCTCTGTACTCTTTCTAGAGTCTCAACATCTTTTTTACATCGTGGTGACCCAAACTGGATGCAGTATTCCAAGTGTGGCCTTACCAAGGCATTGAAGAGTGGTATTAATACTTCACGTGATCTTGATTCTATCCCTCTGTTAATGCAGCCTAGCACTGTGTTGGCCTTTTTGGCAGCTGCAGCACACTGCTGGCTCATATTTAGATGATTGTGCACTAGGACTCCGAGGTCCCTCTCACAGTTACTACTATTGAGCATGGTGCCACCTATGCTGTACTTGTGCATTTGGTTTTTCTTGCCTAAATGTAGAACCTTGCTTTTTTCACCATTGAATTTCATTTTGTTAGTTAGTGCCCAGTGTTCAAGTCTGTCCAGATCCTTCTGTATCTTAAGCCTGTCTTTGGAGTGTTGGCTATTCCTGCCAGCTTGGTGTCGTCTGCAAATTTTGATGAGGGGTTCCATCTATCCCTTCATCCAAATGTTGATGGAGATGGTGAAGAGTATGGTCCTGCGGCCCCCAGAACAGAGGCCCTGGGGCACCCCACTACACACTTCCCTCCATATAGATGCGGTTCCATTGAGGACCACTCGCTGAGTACGGCCGGTCAGCCAGCTACGGATCCGTCTGGTGGTGGTTCTGTCTACCCCACATTTTTCTATCTTCTCAAGTAGTAGGTTGTGATCTACTTTATCAAATGCTTTACTGAAGTCCGAGTAAATTATGTCTACAGCATTCTTCTGATCCACTAATTTTGTCACTTGGTCAAAGAACGCAATAAGATTTGTCTGGGACGATCTGTTTTTGACAAACCCATGTTGGCTTTTAGTAATGACTTCGTTTGCCTCTAGGTGTTTGTTGATTCGTTGTTTGATTATCTTTTCCAGGATCTTCCCAGGTATTGAGGTCAGGCTGATAGGTCTGTAATTTCCTGGATCCATTTTTTTTTCCTTTTTTGAGGATGGGAACTACATAAGCTCTTTTCCAGTCCTCTGGTAGTTCCCCTGTGTTCCAGGATCTTTGAAAAATATAGTTCAGTGGCTCCGATATCACATCTGCCAGTTCCTTGAGAACTCTGGGATGTAATCCATCTGGTCCTGGCGATTTGAACTCATCTAGGCTGGACAGGTGCTCACTAACCATTTTCTTGCCTATCTTAATTTGTGTTTCTGTTTTGTTTTTTATGGCACTATTTTTGAAAGGTTGGTCTGTTTTTTCCCTTTGTGTAAAGACAGATGCAAAAAATGAGTTAAATAGTTCTGCTTCTCCCTGTTGCTTGTCACCTTCTTGCCACTTCCACCCACTAATGGACCAATCATTTCCTTCACTTTTTTCTTGTTTTTTACATGTTGAAAGAAGCTTTTTTTGTTATTTTTGACTTTGGTCGCAAGCCTTAGTTCATTTTGAGCCTTGGCTTTCTTCAATTCATCTTTGCAGGCTCGGGCTATTTGCTGATATTCTGACTTAGTTATGTTCCCCTCTTTCCACTTTCTATATTTGTCCTTTTTATCTTTCAATTTGTCAGAGAGTTCTTTATGCAGCCATGCTGGTTTCTTTTGGGAGCTGTTGTTTTCCCTCTTTGTTGGTATTATGCTAGACTGTGCTTTTATTATCTCATTTTTCAAAATTTCCCAAGCTTCTTGAGTTGTTTTCCCCTTGAGGATTCTCATCCATGGAATCCTTCCCAAGCCTCTCTAAGTTTATTGAAATTAGCTCTCTTGAAGTCCAAGACTCTAGTTTGACTGTGTTCTATTGCTTGTGCTTCTATAATGTTGAATTCTAATATTGCATGATCACTTCCTCCCAGGATTCCTATGGCTTCAACACCGTCTATCATTTCATCTCTGTTAGTGAGAATTAGATTCTGTTCAGGCTCTGAATGACCCCGGATAGACCTTTGATTGTCATGGTGTTCTTCCATGACCTATGAAAGTCATGGTGTGACTTTTGACCCACATTGTACCCCACTCTTAGAGAAGGCCAGTTGAAGTCTGCTGTGGAGAAGTGAAATGGATTCAAGGTGATCAGACAGAGAAGTTGCTCTTAATTAATATTTAAAAGGTGAGGAAAGGGTTTTAAAGGTGCTAGACCAGTGGTTCTCAACCTTTTTAATGCTGCGACCCCCAACCGGTCGTAAGTCGAGGACTACTCAGCTGGTGCAGCACCGTTTGCAGAATGGGACTTTTGGTGGGCTCAGCAGGGCAGAGACAGCCTGGACAATTCCTATTGGCTTTTGAAAGCCAATAGAATTAGACTTTATTCAAGAGAGTCTATTCTATTGGCTTTCAAAAGCCAATAGAATAAAAGGGAGTAGCACAGCTAAGGAAAAGGGCAAAAAAAAAAAAGGCGGACTGCATTGTTTGGCGACCCCCGTGAAATGGTCGTTCGACCCCAAATGGGGTCCCGACCCACAGGTTGAGAACCGCTGTGCTAGACAGTCCCATAGTTGTGTGCTCCTTTATACCCACAAGCAAGGCTGCTGAGCCTTCTTTTCATGCCTTTCCAGAGGTCAGGAGAGTGAGGGTCCTCCTCACTTATGGAGGGACAATATTCCACAGGGTGGCGGCAACAACAAAGAAAGCTCTCTCTGTCTCTGTCTCTCTCTCTCTGTGTCTGTCTCTGTCTCTGTCTCTGTCTCTCTCTCTCTCTCTCTCTCTCTCTTTCTGAGTGGGGGAAGAGGACTGGCAGACTAAGGGCAGGAGAGAGCCAGCCCAATAAGATTGTGTGTCAGCTTGTCGGAGAACAGCGTGAAGCCAGCTTGCCAGATGAGCAGAAGATCAGAGAGAGGGAGAGAGGGAGGGAGACAAAGAGAGGGAGAGAGAGAGAGAGGGAGAGAGAGAGAGAGAGAGAGAGAACTCATGCACAGCAGCCTCTATTTCTTTTAAATTAAACTCTTCAATCAATCGTGCGCGCACACAAGTTTTGCAGCTCCCACTGTTTTCTTTTCTCTGGGAAACGGGTCCAAGTGGCTCTTTGAGTGTTTAAGGCTGCCGAGACCTGGTATAGACTCTCCTGGTGGGTTTATCAAAAACATCCCAACATCATGCTGTAATTCCAGATTAGCTGGGTGGCGTATAAATTGAATTAATAAATAAAATTCACACTGTGTCTGCCTTTTCCTTTAGTTTGTCTGAAAATATGGCCGGTCAAAGGTATATGAGCTATGGTTCTGCTTATGCTCAGGAAGCTGCCAATTATTTTGGCTGGGAGCACAGTGTACACTGCAGTTGTGTGCAAATTTAATACATTTATGCTTGTAGCTTCAAAGGGATTTGGTTGCTTTAGGTGAGCTAGATTTTGGTTACAACAAATCTTTGTATTCTGCAGTTACAGTGCAATTCTGAGAAAAGATTGATTTACCTTATAGGGTTGCCAACAGGTATAATGAAGTCACCAATGCACTCCACAAAGCTTCTATCATTTTCTCCGGATTTGAAGAGATACGGAGCCCTAAATGACAATAGCAGTTGGGACACATATGTGAAAACATTCAGTCTCAGTCTACACTCCCTGTGTCAATTTCACAGAAATCCAAACAAGATTTAAAATGACAATTTTCCTCCATTGGCCAATTTCTTCATATTAATTGCTCCTGACGGAAAATAATAATAATAATAATAATAATAATAATAATAATAATAATAATAATAGTAACAACAACAACAACAACAACAACAAATTCACTATTAGTCAATTGCAAAAGGCGGCCTTACTAGGAACTGCTTCCATCCTGCGACGATATCTGTAATACCATCAAACATCCACATCTGCCTATCCCAGGTCCTGGGTAAGGACTCGATAGGTAGACAAAATGCCAAATCCAGTCTGAACATCTGGCTGACTGTGTGATGATTAATAATAATAATAATAATAATAATAATAATAATAATAAGAATAAGAATAAGAATAAGAATAATGAAGGCAATCAACACTTGGGCAATTCCAGTCATTAGATACACAGCTGGAATAGTGGACTGGACTCAAGCAGAACTAAAAGCAATGGATAGGAAGACCAGAAAAATAATGACAATGAATCATGCCCTTCATCCACGCAGTAACATTGATAGACTTTATCTACCAAGGCAAATAGGTGGGCGTGGAATGCTACAAGTACATCAGATGGTTGAAGAAGAAAAAATGGCTTTGGAAGAATATCTGAAGAAGAATGATGAAGATGCACTGAAATTAGTATATCAGGAAGGCTTACTAACTACTGGAGAGACCAAACTGGCCTTCAAGAAAGACCAAATAAAGAACAGAATAGAGGCATGGGAAGACAAAGCACTACATGGCCAATACATGAAAAAAATAGCTGGGAGATAATAACAAGACCTGGCAATAGCTAATAGCAGGAAAATTGAAGAAAGAGACCGAGGGACTAATTCTGGCTGCACGAGACCAAGCCTTAAGGACAAATGCATACAAAGTCAAAATTGAGAAGACAGCAATAGACAGTAAGTGCCGCCTATGCAAAGAAGCTGAAGAAACAGTGGACCACTTGGTAAGCTGTTGCAAGAAGATTGCACAAACTGATTACAAGCAGCGGCATGACAAAGTAGCAACAATGGTGCATTGGAAGATCTGCAAAAAATATCATTTGCCTGTACGCAAAAACTGGTGGGATCATAAAATAGAGAAAGTCATAGAAAATGATAAAATTAAACTGCTCTGGAACTTCAGAATTCAAACAGACAAGCACCTGCAACATAACACCCCAGACTTAACAATTGTCGATAAGAAAGACAAAAAAATCTGGATAGTGGATGTGGCAGTGCCTGGAGACAGCAGAATAGACGAGAAAGAACTGGAGAAGATAACAAAATACAAAAACCTACAAATAGAAATAGAAAGACTGTGGCAAAAGCAAGCAAGGGTAGTACCAATAGTCATAGGCACCTTGGATGCAATCCCAAAACAACTGGAGCACCACTTGAACACCATTGGCACTGACAAATTTGCCATTAGTCAATTGCAAAAGGTGGCCTTACTAGGAACTGCTTCCATCCTGCGACGATACCTGTAATACCATCAAAAATCCACATCTGCCTATCCCAGGTCCTGGGTAAGGACTCGATAGGTAGACAAAATGCCAGATCCAGTCTGAACATCTGGCTGACTGTGCGATGATCCATCATCATCATCATCATCATCATCATCATCATGGAGCATCTAGTCTACAGATGCTTTTCATCTGTATGGTTTCAACCCAGGGCATATTCCCTTTGCTCTTGTCAGATTACTGATCCAGAGACAAATTTCCCAATGGAGTTGTGAGCCAATGTGAAAAAGCCATATGACTTACCATGAGCCCCACCCCCTCTGAAGCCAGAAGTAATTATTTCCATGCAATTATCAGACTCTCATGACTCACCCAACCTCCAATTGCTTCTCAATAGCTACCAGAAAAAGCATTCTTTAAAAAAGGCATAAGTCTGAAATAATTCCAGGTTTCCATTCAGGGCACGGGCAGAAGGAAAACAGGACTCTTAAATAATCATTTGATCCAGGGCACATTTATTCCCAATCTTCTCATTCTATGCTAATGGGATGAATAGCAATCATGCATCTGTAGGTGGTCACAGTGGGACCTCTGACACCTGATGGTGATGTTGGTCCTGGTTTTATTTCTTTTACCACCCATAGTGTGCAAATTTGCTGCAGAGATGTGCTCTAAAAATGATCCTCTTCCTGTTCGACATGACTGGCAGCAACCAGGAGATCTCCTCCTTGGTGGAATGTCCTCACAGATAATTTATATTTCCTATCCACTTACCTTCAGGAAACATCCATCAATAGAGCTGGAATCGGATTTTCCCATGTAAGGATTTCACCTCCCTCCCCCTTTTTTTTCCCCTGTTAGGACTTTGAAAAGAAGGTGCCCAAATGGTTTGTCATACTCAATTTTACTGAATCGGAGTGATCTACTCTGAGTTGCATCTAGTTTAATGAAAAGGAGGACTGGGGGTGATATGATAGCAGTCTTCCAATAGCTAAGGGACTGCCAAAAGGAAAAAGAAGGTCAAACTATTATTCAAAGCAATGGATAGAAACTAACCAAGGAGAGAGCCAATCTAGAACTAAAGAAAAATTTCTTGACAGTAAGAACAATTAACCAGTGGAACGACTTGCCTCCAGAAGTTGGGGGTGCTCCAACCCTCGAAGTTTTTAAGAAGAGATTGGACAATCATGTGTCTGAAATGGTATAGGATTTCCTGCTTGAACAGGGTGTTGGACTAGAAGACCTTTAAGGTCCCTTCCAACTCTGTTATTCTTAGTGAGAATGTCTTCACATGAGCCCATTATCTGTTTTAATGATTAAAGGTTGTGCTTGGCTTGACTTGTTATGTTATCTAGGTTTGCACCTCAGTTGTTTTGCTGAAGCTTATCCTGAGCCTCCAAGTTCACTTTTACCCTAGATTAGATGAAAATATAAGAATCAGAATGATGTAATGGTTATGGCACTGGATAAGAAACTGAGAAACTGTGAGTTCTAATATTGCCTTAGGCGTGAAGTTAGCTGGGTGATTTTGGATCAAATCCTCTCCATCAGCCCAAGGAAGAAAGCAAAGGAAAATAATTTTTAAATAATGTTGCCTGGAAAACTACACAAGGTGTCCCTCTGGCCACCAGGAGTATAAAATGACATGAAGATAACTAAGAAAAAATAAATAAATAAATAAATAAATAAATAAATAAATAAATAAATAAATAAATAAAGGTGGAAAGGTAGTATTTGTTTATAGTTTGTCTGTGGTTCATTATTCTTTTAAAAGAGAAATATAACCATGGCCACTGATTTTACTAAAAGTTTTACTAAAACATTTGAAATGTTTTCAAATCATGCCTTCTGTTGAAGAATATTTTCATACAGCTTTAAAGAGTTTTTATCTATCTTTCTATCTATCTCTCTCTTTGAGCATTTTTTCCCCTACATTTGGTGGTAATGAATTTGAGATTTAAATGTAGATCATCCATTCCTTACAGAAAAATCTGAAAGACTTCCCAATCCCAGGTTTTATATTCGTTATATAAGTTGTTTTTTATATACAATATATGAATCATTCTCATGACGGAGAAGAACACTTTGTGTCTGGCTGCATGTACAAAATCCAGAAGTTGTGGGTGTTCCAACACTGGAGGTTTTTAAGAAAAAAATTGGACAGACATTTGCCTGAAATTGTGTAGCGTTTTCTGCCTGGGGTGGGAGGGTGTGTGTGGATTAGAAGACCTCCAACGTGCTTTTCAATTCTGTTATTCTGTTATTCCCTCTTTCAAACAGTGATGAAAAACTATGACTGTTGCTTGCAATGAATCTGAGTCAGTATTGCAGCATTTTCCTTTTAATGTTAGTCTATGATGGGACAATTTGCTTCTCACTTTATTGGCAGCATGGTGACCAAGTTCTACCAACACATCCTGGCCTTGGCATTTGCCATAAATGAAATAAATGAGGATTCCAAGATCTTACCCAATATCACGCTTGGATTCCATATCTGTGATAGCTACAATGATGCAATGATGACCTATCGGACCACTCTGGACCTTCTTTTCAAGATGCGCAGTCTTTTACCTAATTATGAATGTGATTCTGGGAAAAAGCTTATTGCTGTTATTGGCGGACTTGGTTCCGTTGTCTCATTCCATATGGCAAACCTTTTAAGTCTTTATAAGATCCCACAGGTAAGATCTGCTCACAGAATAATGGAGAAGTTTATAAATTATAATCGTTTTTCTTCTTACTTTGATTTTGCAGGTCAGAAATGCATTATAGATAAACAGCAATGTTTCCCCAAAGTGGAAAAGGGATAGGAGATTAAGAATAAAATTGTGTCAGGATAGAGCTGCCAAGGCACTTTGAAGATCTTCTAGTCCAGCCCCCTGCTCAAGCAAGAGACCCTATAAAACAGTGTTTCCCAAACTTGAGAACTTTGAGACCGTTGGACTTCAACTCCCAGAATTCCCCAGACATGTATCTCTGGCTGAGAAATTCTGGGAGTTGAAGTCCAACGGTCTCAAAGTTCTCAAGTTTGGGAAACATTGCTATAAAATTTGAGACAAGTGGCTGTCCAGTCTCTCCTTAAAAACCTCCAGTGATGAAGCACCCACTACTTCTGAAGGCAAGCTGTTCCACTGGTTAATTGTTCTCACTATTAGGAAGTTTGTCCTTCATTCCTGGTTGCTTCTCTCCTTGATTAGTTTCCATGCATTGTTTCTTGTCTTGCCTTCTGGTGCTTTGGAGAATACGTTAACCTCTTCTTCTTTGTGGTAGCCCCTCAAATACTGGAACACTGCTATCAAGTCATCCCTAGTCCTTCTTTTCTCTAGATTAGCCATACCCATATGAACATTTCTTCATATGTTTTAGTTTCCAGGCCTTTACTCACCTTAATTGTTCTTCTCTGCACTTTTTCCAATTAACTACATTTAGTATACCTTTTTGCAAGATACTTGTTCCAGAAAATCATATTTCTTTTAACATGCAGAAACATTCAAACAAAAAGAAAATAGATGTTTACCTTGTGGGTTTATGCAGACAAAGATACTTTTTTTTTTTACTCTGACACGTACAAAAATTTTCTTGCATGCAGATTTATTTATACATTCCTTCCAGCCAGTTTCTAAAAAAACTACTTTTTTTTAGCTTACTTATGGCTCCTTTGCTCAAGATGAGAGCCATATTACACCATCCCAAGCTCTATACCGTATGGTTCCAAATGAAGCCAGTCAGTATAGGGGAATTATCCAGTTACTTCACCATTTCGGGTGGACATGGATTGGGTTCTTCATCACTGATGATGACAGTGGAGAACATTTCATACAGATGTTAGAACCCCTGCTTTCCCAGAATGGAATCTGTTCAGCATTCACAACAAAAATCCCAAAAGCAGAGTTGGATGATATCTTCAGTGTTAACAGGAAAGTCTGGAATATTTATCTACCGATGACTAATGTCAATGTTAATACAATTGTTGTTTATGGAGAAAACTTGTCCATGATATTGCTGAGCAATTTTATGCTTCAAGCAACTCATGATAATTCAGATATATTCTTTCAAAGGGTATGGGTTATGACTGCCCAGATTGATTTTGGGATGACAAGAATTCAGATGGGCTCAGATTTGCAAGTGTTTCAAGGAGCCATTTCTTTTACTGTTCACTCCCATCAACTGCCCAAGTTCCAGAAATTTCTTCTGGCCCTAGACCCATGTCAAGCTGAAGGAAATAATTTTCTGGATGTCTTCCTGGAGCAAGCTTTTAACTGTTTATTTCAATGTCCAAAGAAGATGGAAGTCACAGAAGTACGTTCTTGGGAAGAGAGCTTGAAAAAACTTCCTGGAACTCTGTTCGAAATGCACATGACTGGTCCTAGCTATAGCATCTACAATGCGGTCTATGCTATAGCACATGCTTTACATTCCATGGAGTTATTTAGATCCAAACTCACATCAAAGAGTGGTATGAAAAGGACCAAACTTCAAAGTCTTCAGCCTTGGCAGGTAATGGCTGTGGGTTTCTCTTTCCCTCATAAAAAGATTAGTAGAGACTCATATATCATCCATATTATCTCTTTAATGAGCGATTAAAGTCGTATGTCTAGTCTAGTGAAAAGAAGGACTAGGAGAAACACGATAGTAATATTCCACTATTTGAGGGGCCACCACAAAGAAGAGGAGGTCAACCTCTCCAAAGCACTAGAAGGCAGGACAGGAAGCAATGGTTGGAAACTAATCAAGGAGAGAAGCAACCTGAAAACTAAGGAGAAATTACCTGACATTGAGAACAATTAATCAGTGGAATATTACTTTTGGAAGTTGTGGGTGCTCCATCACTGAAAGCTTTTAAGAAGAGACTGGACAGACACTTGTCTAGAATGATATAGGGTCTTCTGCTTAAGCAGGGGGTTGGACTAGAAGACCTCCAAGGTTTGTTCCAATTCTGTAATTCTGTTGTTCTCTATGATGCACTGAAGAACAATTATAATACAGGATACAGGAGGATCTAGACAGACTTGAACACTGGGTGCAATGAAATTCAATGGTGAAAAAAGTAAGGTTCTACATTTAGGCAAGAAAAACCAAATGTACAGGTATAGTATAGGGAGTATATCGCTCAATAGTAGTAACTATGAGAGGGATCTCGGAGTCCTAGTGGACAATAATTTAAATATGAGCCAGCAGTGTGCTGCAGATGCCAAAAAAGCCAACACAGTGCTAGGCTGCATTAACAGAGGGATAGAATCAAGATCACGTGAAGTATTAATACCACTTTACAATGCCTTGGTAAGGCCACACTTGGAATACTGCATCCAGTTTTGGTCACCACGATGTAAAAAAGATGTTGAGACTCTAGAAAGAGTACAGAGAAGAGCAACAAAGATGATTAGGGACTGGAGGCTAAAAAGATATAGGATCGTTGATGGAATTGGGTATGTCTAGTTTAACAAACAGAAGGACGAGGGGGGACTGAATAGCATGTTCCAATACTCAGGAGCGGGCCTTACAAAGAAGAGGGAGTCAAGCTATTTTCCAAGGTGCCTGAAGGCAGGACAAGAAGCAACGGATGGAAACTAATCAAGGAGAGAAGCAACCTAGAACTAAGGAGAAACTTCCTGACAGTTAGAACAATTAACGAGTGGAACAACCTGCCTCCAGAAGTGGTGAATGCTCCAACACTGGAAGTTTTTAAGAAGAGACTGGACAGCCATTTGTCCGAAATGGTATAGGGTTTCCTGCCTGAGCAGGGGGTTGGACTAGATCAGTGGTTCTCAACCTGTGGGTCGGGACCCCATTTGGGGTTGAACGACCATTTCACGGGGGTCGCCAAACAACGCAGTCCGCCATTTTTTCCCCTTTTCCTTAGCTGTGCTACTCCCTTTTAGTCTATTGGCTTTTGAAAGCCAATAGAATAGACTCTCTTCAATAGAGTCTAATTCTATTGGCTTTCAAAAGCCAATAGGAATTGTCCAGGCTGTCTCTGCCCTGCTGAGCCCGCCCAAAGTCCCATTCTGCAAACGGTGTTGCACCAGTTGAGTAGTCCTCGACTTACGACTGGTTGAGTAGTCCTCGACTTACGACCGGTTGGGGGTCGCGGTATTAAAAAGGTTGAGAACCACTGGATTAGATGGCCTCCAAGGTCCCTTCCAACTTTATTAATAGTAATAGTAATAATAATAATAATAATAATAATAATAATAATAATAATAATCTTTTTCCTTCATATGGGAAACATGACTTATGTCAGGTGGCGGGAAATGCTTTATTTAAAAAAAAACATTTGGATATTGTAAAAGATCTATAGTTTAGAGTTCTGAAAAGTTGATACTGCTACTCTTTCTCTGTTACTGTTGTTCCACATTGGAAAACTTCAAAATGAGCCTCCACCATCCCTTCACACTCTCTCATTCTGTATTCTGAAGTGTCCGTGTGTGCAAATATCTTTAGAGTGATGTAATGTCAACCAGTATTAACCATCTTACTGTCTATGGAGATTCTCAGTCATCCAGGTCATAGTTATCCCAAAGATGCTTTTTCATAAGGCAACTGGACTTTCTTGATTTTGTTTGAAGACGTTACACTTCTCATCCAAGAAGCTTCTTCTGACTGGATAGTGGGGAATGGAAGGATTTACACTCCTTACAAACAGCTGGTCCTTTGCATTCTTTTAGCGTCGATCTATGTCAAAACTGAGCAGCCCTCTCTCAACAGAGGGGGAGGGATAAGACATCATCTGTCTCCAGTCTACAACACAGTCCTTTCAACAGTTCTACACACATTTGCACTACTCAGGTGACTCTGAAGACACAGATAAGCCTCTAGGTAGCACTAAGGACTCCCTAAAAGAAGGCAAATGAACAGCTGTCTGCAGGAGTATAAATCCTTCCCTTCCCACTATCCAGTCAGAATTGAAGCTTCTTGGATGAGAAGCAAAACATCTTCAAAGAAAAACAAAAAAGTCCAGTTGCCTCATGAAAAAGCATCTTTGGGATAACCATCTTATTATTAATTAATACATACCTGTATTTCCACTGATAGAGAACAAATATAGAGAACTACTTGTTGGGAACCCTGTAGCTGCACTTTTTGGTTCTTGTTTACTTGAGTGTGGAAATATGCTATGGTCTAGTGCATACAAGCCTGAAATAGTACAAAGTCTAAGATAAGCTCTCTGAAGTTGTAAGTTGGAGAAAATTCAGAGAAGAGGAACTGAGATGTTCAAAGGCCCGGAGACTAAAACATATGAAGAATGGCAGCAGGATTTGGGTTTGGCTAGTCTAAAGAAAAGAAAAAATGGGGGTGATATGATAGCAGTATTACAGTATTTGAGAGGCTGCCACAAAGAAGAAGGGGTCAAATGGTTCTCTAAAGCACCAGAAACCAGGACAAGAAACAATGTCTGGAAATTGATCAAAGAGAGAAGCAATCTGAAATTAACGAGAAACTTCCTAACAGTGAGGACAATTAATCAGTGGAGTAGCTTGCCTTCAGAAATCATGGGTGCTCCATCTCTGGAGGTTTTAAAGAAGAGATTGGACAGTGACTTGTCTGAGATGGTATAGGTTTTCCTGCTTTAGTGGGGGTCTGGACTAGAAGACCTCCAAGATCCCTTCCAGTTTCTATTCTATTCTATTCTATTCTATTCTATTCTATTCTATTCTATTCTATTCTATTCTGTTCTGTTCTGTTCTGTTCTGTTCTGTTCTGCTCTGCTCTGCTCTGCTCTGCTCTACTCTACTCTACTCTACTCTATTCTATTCTATTCTATTCTATTTTACAAACTACAGTCCCTTTGTACTTGTGATTTATGTCCTCTCATCATTTTCTGCATCTTTAATCATTCTCTTCGTCCTCAACCAATAAAGTTAGCCCAGCTAACAAGTATCATTATCAACTGATTTTTGTCTATCTATCTCTATCTTTTTAAAAATTATCTGTCTGTCTCTCTGTCTGTCTAACATGGTTATTGGTCTGTTATGTCTCTTGAGAAGTTGCACATGGTAGACTGAATATTCATGCATTGCACAAAAAGAAGGAGATGTGTTCAGAAAAATTCCAATCAATTTTCAGTGTGTTGTTTTCCTTTCTCTCTGTCTCCCTCTGTATGTTGGATGTAGCTTCATCTAGTTCTTCAATCTATTGTGTTCAACAATTCTGCTGGGGAAACAGTGTTCTTCAATGGAAGGAAGGAAATGGGTGGTGGATTTGATATCACAAACTTAATCACATTCCCAAATAACTCCTTCGTTAGAGTGCAAATTGGAACAGTGGATCCTGAAGGGAAAAATCTCAATATTGATGACTCATCAATTATGTGGCCCCAGCGTTATAAGCAGGTATGATCTATGATTCTTTTTCAGAATATTTTTTCATCTTCAGACCTGTAACTTAACATTTGCTTTTTCTGAATGGGCTGAGCCCATCATGGATGACAATTTATTTCCATAACAATTAGTTGAGTCTGAAACTTTGTGTGTCTGTGGACAGAAGCCCTTCACCCTGTTCCCGATGGTTATCGTTGGTTCTTTATAGGACGTTCAATTAATAACATCTACCCATCTTTTCCACTGTCTTTCCATTCTTCTGAATGGGCTGAGCCCATCATGGTTGACAATTTATTTCCATAAAAAATAGGTAGGTATCATTAAGTTGAGTCTGAAACCTTGTGACAATCTGTGGACAGAAGCCCTTCACCTTGGATTGTTCCTGATGGTTATCTTCAGTTCTTTAGAGGACATTCAACTAATACCATCTTTTCCATTGTCTTTCTGTTCTTCTACTTCGCTCAGCCATGTAAGTGTACTATAGGCAATCCTTGGCTAGAACCATGACTGAACCCAGCCTAGAACCACAACTGAATCCAAACTTTCTATTGCTAAGTAAGGCAGTAGTTAAGTGAGTTTTGCTTCATTTCTTGTCTCAGTTGTTAAGTGAATCACTGCAGTTGTTAACTTAGTAACATGGTTGCTAAGTGGATCTAGCTTCCCCATTGATTTCACTTTTAGAAAGTCACAAAAAGTGATCACATGATCCTAGGACCTGCAACCATCATAAATATACGCCAGTGCCAAGCATCTGAATTTTGATCCTTTGACCATGGGGATATAGTAATGAGGTCGTAAGTGTGAAAAACAGTCATAAGTCACTTGACATAAACCATTGTAACTTCAAACTAACTAAATCAATGCTTGTAAGCTAAGGACTTTTAATAAGGAAAATGTCAATAAATGGATAGAGAATTACTGAGATTCTACAACTGATGCTTAATATAACATGAAAAAGATAAATCATACCTACATAAAGTATATTAGAATAGAGTAGAACATAATATAGATCCATCAAATATATCTATGATATAAAAAGGTAGACATTTTTGAGCTTAATGCCAACATTTCCACTATTTTATTATTTATAAATGGTAATAAGGAAAAAAAGAAAACCAGAATAGAAAGCACTTTTAAAAATAATATAGATAAGTATTTAATTTCTGATTTTCCTTCTTATCCTCTAGAATTGTTTTACAGCAGTGGTTCTCAACCTGTGGGTCGGGACCCCATTTGGGGTCGAACGACCATTTCATGGGGGTCGCCAAACAATGCAGTCTGCCATTTTCCCCCTCTTTTCCTTAATTGTGCTACTCCCTTTTATTCTATTGGCTTTTGAAAGCCAATAGAATAGACTCTCTTGAATAGAGTCTAATTCTATGGGCTTTCAAAAGCCAATAGGAATTGTCCAGGCTGTCTCTGCCCTGCTGAACCTGCCAAAAGTCCCATTCTGCAAACGGTGCTGCACCAGTTGAGTAGTCCTCGACTTACGACTGGTTGAGTAGTCCTCGACTTACGACCGGTTGGGGGTCGCGGCATTAAAAAGGTTGAGAACCACTGTTTTACAGTATTTATCGGAATAAGTAAATAGTTCAACCTATTCTCCAAAGAACTGGCAGCTAGAACAAGAAGCAATGGATGGAAACTAATCAAGGAGAGAACCAACTTAGAACTAAGGAAAAATTTCCTGGCAGCTAGAACAATTAATCAGTGGAACAATTTGCCTCCAGAAGTTGTGGGTGCTCCAACACTGGAGGGTTTTGAGATATTGGATAACCATTTGTGTGGAATGGTATAGGGTCTTCTGCTTGAAGAGTTGGTTGGAGTAGATGATCTTCAAGGTCCCTTCTAACTCTGTTATTCTGTTATATTTTAGAAACCATACCCTACATGTTTCTACTTGATGATCCTATCTGTTCAAACATATCTGATTCTATGGACCAGATCCCTCCATAGTTTCTTATCTTTTATACCTTTTTTTCAGCTGTTTTATGGTCTGGCGGTGTCTGCTTTGGTAGTATCTAAATACCATGGTTTTTAGAGGCCTTGTTTCCTTTTACTGTTGCCCATTCCCACCATACTAGCCTTTTCTAGTAAGATTGATTGGGTGACATGGCCAAAATACGCAAGCAGAATTTTGTGCTTTCATTTTCCAGTGAATGAAATTTTGATTGAGTTAGAAGAAATAATTGTTATCAGCATCATCAAGGAATATCACTACTCATTTCTTCATTCTAAAAGTTTTGGGTTGAGTCAATTGATTGATTGATTGATTGATTATTTATTTGCTTGAGCTCCAGATCTTTATTATCTAGATTATAAAAATAATAGCAACCCACAATGTTCCTTTATATCAACTGCTGAAGGGGGAAATGCTGTGTGAGACTGTGAATATGGCCTCATATATTTACTATCCTCATGACTACCCAGACGTCATTTCATTTGTAAATAGTAGCTGTGAAAACCTAAATTCCTTGGCTTGCTTCTCCTAAACCCATTGCTACTTCTTTCTTTCTGGTAGGTACAACCAGTTTCCGTATGTTCTGAATCTTGCCCTCCAGGGTATCAGAAGAAAAAAAGAGAAAAGGATAAATTTTGCTGTTATGATTGCACACCATGCCCAGAAAGGAAGATCTCAAAGTTGAAGGGTAGGCAATGCATTATATTCAACAGCACCACCTTCTTTATTTGAGATAAAGAAGTAGCAACTGTCCCCTTGTTCTTGCATTCATGAGATCCTCTGAACTTTTCCATCCAACATCAAATCAAAAGAAAGAAAGAAAAAGAAAACCCAACGAAAAAAAATGCTCATCCTCCCATGCTTCATGCCTGTCTCCGTGATAAACTGATACATTCATTAATTCACACAGTGATAGAATCTTAAATTTATAAAACTGTGGAACTGGATGGGACCATAATGTTGATATAATGCTACCCTCTGGAGTATGCAATACAATCAATGAAAGCAACTTCTCCAGCAATGGAGAACCCCATAACATTATAGACAGATCCTTCCATTGTTGAATAGATATGTTTCTCCTTATATTTATATAAAATCTAGAAAGCTGTAACTTATAACCAGGGTTTTTGGTCCTAGTTCCAACTTTTGACTACCATATATTCTGGCGTATAAGGCGACTGGGCGTATAAGACGACCCCCAACTTTTGAGAACATTTTCAGGGTTTAGAAAGTCATACGCCAGAAAATACAGTATAATATTGAATTTCTGTTTATAGATGAGCACAATAGGAGCTCCATTCCTTTGCTGCTAGAAAGCTTTGTCCTGTTGGTGCTTATTTCTGTAAAAAAATAGGGCTGGCCACTAGGGGGCAGATTGGTTTTAAATTCAGAGAACAGCTACCTGTATATTCCTGCGTATAAGACGACCCCTGACTTTTGAGAAGATTTTCAGGGTTTAGAAAGTCGTCTTATACGCCAGAAAATACGGGATTTTTTTATGCCTCCCTTTTATTTATCTGAGCACAGAAAGCATGTTTTCCCTTAAGTATTTTCCCTTCCCTCAGGTTAAATTTCTCATATGTCATGTCCTCAAGTCCCTGTATCAGCCTGAGGGCTTTCAACATCTTTTGGGAAATTTGGGGACCAGAATAATGCATAATACATTGGGTGTGGTCTCACCAGTGCCAAGAAAAGGGGAATAAACTGATAAAGAATAAAGAATAGTATTTAGAATGCTTACAAGAAAAAAAAATTATCAAAGAGCAAAGTATTCTTCAAGCTGGATGAAAGGACATGAAATGTTGAGATGGAATTCAGTGACAACAAATGTCAGTATTGAAAAATATTGAGGCATATGCCCGGATGGAGATTTCTATTAAAGAACCTTCATTTCTTCAAGGCCCAGTTCAGCTGTACAGCAATAGAAAAATTAAGAATTTACTATGAAGGGAAAAGGTTGAAAGTTTTCAAATACAACAAATGATAAATTACTATATTAGATTTCATAACAAGAACAAGAGAACAGGCAATATTAGCAGTAGGAAATCTTCTTTGGTGCTGGCTTTTCAAGAATATCGTGTATTCTTCAGAATGTTGTATATTGATCCTTAAACAGGATGTTTTCATTTCTTTTTTTAATCTGTTTATATTTCATTCAAGAAAAAATTAAAACTCCAAAGAACCCAAAAGAGACAAAAAGGGGAAAAAACCCCACAAAACAACAAGACATTAAAAAAGAAAAAAGGTATACATATATTATCCCCCCTAACTGAATACTGATTAATACATTACTTCAATATATAAATATATAAAACATACAAGGAACGGTTGCTGGAATTGGGTATATTTAGTTTAATGAAGAGAAGGACGAGGGGGGACATGATAGCAGTATTCCAATATCTCAGGGGCTGCCACAGAGACGAGGGAATCAAGCTATTCTCCAAAGCGCCTGAAGGCAGGACAAGAAGCAAGGGATGGAGACTCATCAAGGAGAGAAGCAACCTAGAACTAAGGAGAAACTTCCTGACAGTCAGAACAATTAACCAGTGGAACAACCTGCCTCCAGAAGCGGTGAATGCGCCAACACTGGAAGTTTTTAAGAGGAAACTGGACAGCCATTTGTCCGAAATGGTGTAGGGTTTCCTGCCTGAGCAGGGGGTTGGACTCGATGACTCCAAGGTCCCTTCCAACCTCCTGCTCCTCCTCCTCCTCCTCCTCATTATTATTATTATTATTATTATTATTATTATTATTATTATTATTATTATTTCTCACACCTTGTGAAACAGCCCCCCCATTTTTACATTAGTAAATCTATCTGCAAGTTATTGACCTGTCTTCTATATATTACATTAGGGATAACATATTTAACAGAAAAAATAATAACAATAAAACAACACAAGATTAAAATTTCAAAACTTTCTATCAACAAACTGTTATTGTAATCCACTCATAGAAAGTTTATCTATCCTCAATCATCCTGAAAAATTATAAATAATTTGTCCTGTATAAAATACCCATGTTTCTTTCTTAATGCCATATCTTATCACTTGTTGTCTAATTAACTATAATAGATTCAGTCTCCACAGTAAGCCTATCTTCCCATCAATGTCCAAATAGAAGTGGTTTCCAATTAGATGTAATAAATCCATTCTTTTCTTTTCCTTTTCAGATACGATTGATTGTATTGAATGCCCAGAAGATCAGTATGCTACCAAGAACAGGGATGGATGCATCCCCAAAACAATAAGCTTTCTTTCTTATGAGGAACCTTTAGGAATCAGTTTAATGTCAGTGGCAGTTTCCTTTTCTTTGATAACAGTGTTGGTGTTGGGAACATTCATTAAGCACAGAGATACCCCTATTGTCAAAGCCAACAACCGGGATCTCACCTACATTCTTCTTATCTCCCTTCTTCTTTGCTTCTTGTCTTCTTTGCTCTTTATTGGACAGCCAAGGGAAGCAACTTGCTTTCTCCGACAATCTGTTTTTGGCATCATATTCTCTGTGGCTATTTCTTCTGTACTGGCCAAAACTATCACTGTGGTGGTAGCATTTATGGCCACCAAACCAGGATCCAAGATGAGGACATATATGGGAAAAAGATTGTCAAGCTCTATTGTCATTTCCTGCTCTCTGGTTCAAGTAGTTACTTGTATTGTCTGGGTGACAACCTCACCTCCATTCCCAAATTTAGATATGTACTCAGTCCCTGGAGAAATTGTAGTAGAATGTAATGAAGGAACCACCATTCTGTTTTATCTTGTCTTGGGTTACATGGGATTCCTATCCTTTATCAGCTTTACAGTGGCTTTCCTAGCCAGGAAGTTGCCAGATACTTTCAATGAAGCCAAGTTCATCACTTTTAGTATGTTGGTGTTTTGTAGCGTTTGGTTGTCTTTTGTTCCAACCTATTTGAGCACCAAAGGAAAGTATATGGTAGCTGTGGAGATCTTCTCCATCTTAACTTCCAGTGCTGGGTTATTGGGTTGTATCTTTTCGCCCAAATGCTACATCATTCTTCTAAAGTCTGAACTAAACAGCAAGGGACAATTGATAAGAAGAAAAAGATGAGGAGTCTCTTATTATCATATAACAATGGCCTACATTTGTATACTAAAGTGGGATTATTTCTGAATTTATATGAAATTATATAGGGCAGAATGCCTACTCAACTAATTATTATTTGCACCAATCAACTTAAAGATATTCAGTTATTCATACCAATATTGTGGCAAATTTATTTGAATTTGGAATGAAAAATAAAATTTGGAATAAACTGTTGATTTATTTATCATTCATGTAGTGTCTAAATGCCATTGGAGCATTCATTGGGAACAATTGCTCTCTACTGTTGCCATATCACTCATATTTTCCAGAAACTAAACTTAAAGGACACTCTTTTTGCTTGTTTTAAGGCAGCTATGAAGATTGAGTAGCCCGTTCAATCTTTAAACTAAACAAATCCACATTGCATTGACCTGTAGCAATACATTTTGGGCAAAATATGTCCACAACTGCTTCTCAAATACTTGCTGCTGACTCATCAAAGCAGCTGCATCTTTTTTCAAGATCAGGCAGCTGCTTTAAAGAGTTGCAGATAGCTGCCATTTTGAACTGAACCTGAAGTCCAACTTAGATTTATTAATAATTAATGTAATTGGAGGACCATTTTTTGAAACATAGGAGGAGAGTGAGATGTGAGCAAATCTCTTTCTGTGTATTTCTCTCTGTGTGTTTTTGTCCCTCTCTCTTGTGCTTGTATGTATGTGTTCTGTTGGGAAAAGACAATACAATCAATTCACTTTGGAGAGGAGGTGGGGTGGAGACCACGTTTGCCGGTAAAACTGTTGCTGTGACTTGATGGTGGCAGATGCAATTATCATGCCTATAATCCCTGAAACCACTGTTATTTAGTTTTCTTTATTTTAAAGTTCACTAAATAAACAATATCTGAACAGGTTAACCCAGTGACAAGAAATCTTCTGTGAGGCTGAAGGCTGGAAAGAGAAGACCAACTGTGTGCGATGCGGTGTGAGGGCAGAGTCTTGTCTACACTGCCTGGCTGCCATGTCCTTGGCTGTGCTGCTCCGTGTGGGCCACACTCAGGAGTGACTTTCCTCCAAGGGGGCTGCTGGTGAGGAGGGGGTCAAGGGAGGAGGCAAGACTGGGGCAACAGCATGTGTGCCCAAAGAAAGGGCTCCAAGTGCCGCCTCTGGCATGCATGCCATAGGTTTGCCACCACTACTATATACTATTCTATATATTCTATATGATGCAGTCTTTGTCTTTTCATTTACAATTTTCTTTTCACTGTGTTGTTCCAAAGGTTTTTTTTTTCCAAAAGGCACTGTCCTGGACTTTCTTGTGTTTTTTATTTCCCTTTTGAAAATGTTTCATTTCCCATCCAAGAAGGTACTTCAGTGCTAACTGACTGGTGAGGAATGGAAGAATTTATATTCTTTGCAGTCATCTGTTCTGAAGACTGCAGATGATTGCACAAAAAATATAAACTCTTTCATTCCCCACCAGTCAGTTAGAACTGAAGAAGCTTCTTGGATGAGAAGTGAAATGTTTGCAGAGGAAAAAGGACAAGAAAGTCCAGTTGCCTTTAGGGAAAAAAAAGCACCTTTGGAAACAACCATGATCTGGATGATTGAGGCTCTCCATAGACATTCTCAATCCATAGTACCTACACAGATATATTTTTGACCCTTCTTAAAACTTTATTGGCCACATCAATACAATTGAACCAATATCTGTGGGGTTTCTTGAGTCTCACACACTGAAATATGAACCAAATTTGAGGCTGCTTAGCTAGCCACAGTATGGCTCAATGAGTGATGTGGTGCCATATGCTACTACAGACCTGGAAGGGTCATTGTTGATTACAGAATTTTAGTAACTTTTTGAAAAGATTAATCAGACATTTGATCAACCTTAAGAGAAATGTGATTTCTGATGGCCTTGTGAATTTGTAATTGAACTGGCAATGAAGCAATGTCAAAAATCGCCTCCCCCAACCTGTAATTCCAACATTTCCTGGTGATGTCCTATGTAACCAACCAGGTCCAATCCTAAGTATAACAACAGATATTTGGGGATGCCAAGACATAAGGTCCACTGTTATATTTTTCCATCTGATGCAGATGCAGAAGTTGCAAGATTCACATCACTATGTCATGATATGTCCCCTCTTAACATTTAGTGTAATGAATTGTAACTGAAGGGCCTCTTTATATATACATATATTTATATGTATGTGTATGTATACATATATGTGTACATGTGTATCCATGTCTCTGTGTTTCTATATATGTGTCTCTGTATCCACATCCAATGGAACACTCACAGTTTTTTCCCAGATATTTTCATTCTTGGTGGTCCTTCCTTGTATAAGAAAGAGCTCTACATCCTTTTCTATTATCTCTGCTAAATTTCACCTTTGGTTTTCTTGTAAAAAGCCACACTTCTAATATCAAACCAAATCAAATCACTTTTGATTAAAGTAATTTGTCACCATATACTTTGAATAAAGGATGAGATATCAGGAGGAATACATTTTGTTTCACTACATTTTCCTTATTATTGATTAACCGGATAATAAGTTACAGTACAAATAGTTGGATGGATAGAGAGTCAGCACAAAACTTTTTAAAAATAACATTATATGTACCAGTTTTAAAACATCCAGAAACACTAAATTTCAAACAACCCTAACCAATCCAAAACTGAAACTTTGTGATAACCGTGTAAAATACATGTTTCTCTCAAAATGGATAGATACTCAAATACATTCAAAATAAGAAAGGGCTAGGTTAAGAGAATGGTTGAAAACCTAGCAGCCTGAACACTTATTTTGCAATGGGTACTCATAGGAAATGTCAGAAATCATAATAATCTTCCATAAACCCTCTTTTGACAGAAATATCTACTTCTATATGTACCTCTAGACAGCAATCAGATGTTCTATTCTTGTTTGGCAACCATTTAATATAGTGAGAAATATTACATGATATACTAATAATTCCTCTTCATGAGTTGCTTTCTGTGGTTTAGCTCAGGCCAGAAAACAATGATGTAGCACTTTGGCAAGAATATGCATCCCAGTAATGCAGCGCTGGAGGACAAGATGGAGAAGACCTCCACAGCTACCATGGCTTTGCCTTTTGTGCTCAGATAGGCTGGAAAGAAGGAGACCCACACACTGCAAAAGGCCAACATGCTGAAGGTGATGAACTTGGCTTCGTTAAAACTGTCAGGTAATTTACGGGCAAGAAAAGCCACAATAAAGCTGGCAATGGCCAAGATACCCATGTAGCCCAAGACACAGAAGAAAAAGAAAGCTGATCCCTCATTGCACTGTAAAATCATTTCTTGAAGCTCTGAATGCATATCCAACTCAGGGAATGGGGGAGATATCAACAACCAAAGGATACAAATACACACTTGGAAAAGAGAACAGGAAAGGACAGTGCAAAAAGCTAATCTTTTCCCCACCCATCTCATCATCTGAGATCCCGGTTTAGTGGCCATGAAAGCAACAACTACAGTGATGGTTTTGGCCAGAACACTAGAAATGGCCATTGAAAAAGTGATGCCAAACATTGATTGTCTGAGAAGGCAGGTCACTTTGCCAGGCTGGCTGAGAAAGAACAAAGAGGAGAGAAAACAGAGCAGAAGAGAGACAAGTAGGATGTAGGTGAGAAACCGGTTGTTGACTTTGACAATAGGAGTCTCTCTGTACTTAATAAAAATTCCAAGTGCCCAAGTGGTCAAGAAGAAGAAACAAAAAGCCACTGAGGCTAAACAATGTCCCAAGGTTTCTTCAAAAGTTAGAAAGACTACCGATTTCAGGATACATCCTTTCTTTTCTTTATTTGGATAATGATCTTGTGAACATTCAAAACAGTCATCCATATCTGAAAGAAAAGTCAAGACATTTTTCATTTATCTATTCTATAGCAATAGCAACAGCAATAGCACTTAGACTTACAGTATACTTCTTCATAGAACTTTACAGCACTCTCTAAGTGGTTTACAAAGTCAGTATATTGCCCCTAATAATCTGAGTTCTCATTTTACTGACTTCGAAGTGATGGAAGGCTGAGGGAACTTGAGCCAGTCAGGATCGAACTCCTGGCAGTGAGCAGAATTAGCCTGCAATAATGCATTCTAACCACTGCATCACCACAGCTCCTAGTCATAATCTGTTTGATTGCCAACTGTTGTTCCATTTTGAATTCTTTCCACGTGTTACCAGTTGGATCATGTTTCTATGAAAATACATTTTACCTCAATGTGATCATTTAGAATTGGCATAAATGAAAGGAAGTGTAATTGTTCTTTGAAATGCAATTTTTCCCACATTTTCAAATGTATTACAATATAGGCAATGTGAATTTTCCCATTTTCCCAAAACATGGGAAAAAATAACTGTGATAATGGATATATAACAAGTAAGAGAATGAGAAATATGGACTCTGAGGTGCAAACAATATAATACATTTAAACCTGTTTAGCTCCTTCCTAAAGAGTGAGTAAACTAAGAAAAGATTGGTATTTTTATTTGAAAAAAAAGGTGGGGTCCAAGAAGAATAAATAGACATTCATTATTTAAACTTCAATCAGAAGTTTAAATTTAATTTGCTTCTCCTTTTTTTCCTATGCTATCTTTAAAAGAGATTAGTGGTCATCAAACCATACTTTTCAGCTCAATAAAACGAAAAAGAAGAAAAAAATAAAGAAATTGAATTAAATTAATGCTCATATACTCCAAATATATGCTCAGATGCTTTGTTCTTTGTTTTGTAAGAAGAAAATAGGTTGTCTTTGTTTTTTCAGCATCCTTTTTCTTTGATTCTGAGTCTATTCTATGTTACTGGCTGATTACCTCTCATTCATGTTTTTACTAGGTCAGACATTGCAAAGCTGGATTTATAATGAGTAGGTTGTCATTCCAAACAATTTGGTTCAGCATATACTCCAGGAAATATTAGGAAAAGGTGCCTGGTATTAATCATCTGAAAATTATTACATTCATATAGCATCCAAAGTTAATCAAAATAATGTGCGACCATCAGTATTCTCAATATTTGCTACTGTTACATGGACACTGAAAGTCACAGAGACAATAACACCAATGCAAAAGAAATTAGAGATGTGGATATTAGCTTCTTCTTCTTCTTCTTCTTCTTCTTCTTCTTCTTCTTCTTCTTCTTCTTCTTCTTCTTCTTCTTCTTCTTCTTCTTCTTCTTCTTCTTCTTTCTCTCTCTCCCTCTCCCTCCCTCCCTCCCTCTCTCTCTCATCTGTTATCTATCATCTATCTATTATTCCACTGGGAATAGACAGACAGATATCCCTAGTGGAATAATAGTTGCAGGATTCCCATAAACAAATTTGAGAATCAACCATAAATATTCCCCATTAAAAATTGGTAAAACTTGTAATTATACAAATACACATCTAGGATGTTACCTTTATTTGAAGCCTATATAAGGAATGTTTTTAATGAAAAATTAATGGTCTAATATAAAAATATGGTGACAATACCAGTTTGATTTGAAATCTTCCCCTCTGAACATGGAACACAATCATAACAACAGAACACTCTCCCTTCAGCACTTTTCTTCCAGTAACCCGGGGAACAAGGATCATTACACAGAGAAACAGGCAAAACCTAGAGATATAGACATAGATATGAAAGAATCTGGATTAGACAATGGAAATGATCAAAATTGGATTATATGAATGACCTTTGACTTTATTAATATTTGGGTGGAGGTGTAGAAATTCCTGAAATCATAGAGACAAGAACAACAAGCAAAAGAAATTGCAACTCTGCATAATAACAACTACTCCTAATATAAATAAGGGTCATCTGGTGAAATAAAATATGATGATCTCTTCTTTCTTTCTTTCTTTCTTTCTTTCTTTCTTTCTTTCTTTCTTTCTTTCTTTCTTTCTTTCTTTCTCCCTCTCCCCCTCTCCCTCTCCTCCTCTCCCTCTCTCCCTCTCCCTCATCTCTCTCTCTCTCTAATCTATCTATCTATCTATCTATCTATCTATCTATCTATCTATCTATCTATCTATCTATCTATCTATCTATCATGACCTGCAGCATTGTTATATAATATGAATTTTCTCTAGACCATTGCAGAAATTTAGGGCTATAGTATGTTTGAAAACGATGATGGGAGACCTATTCTAAAAATAATAAAACTTCGTGAGGACATTTTATGATGGACCTAGTGGCCTATTTTCTTGGTAAGGATCAAATATTTTATCCTTGTTTTTTTCCACCACATTTTTATCTTTAATTTTGAGTCTACTTTACAAACTGTAATAGGCTGTTCATCTCCCATTCATAACTTTGTTAGGTCAGACATTGCTTAGCTGGACTTATGAGTAGGTGGAGACCCAACACATAATCCAGGAATCATCATCACAACACCTGATTTTAATCATAGTATATGAAAATTCCTACATCCAACTAGCACCCAAAGTTCATTAAGACAATATTTGTTACTGTTGCATGAGGATGGAATAGTAGGAGCAAGAAGAGCAATGCAAAGAAGAATGCAAGGGTGAACAAAAACAACTTCCACTACTAATAAAAGCTAAAGTTTCTGTGATGAAATAAGATCTTCCTCCCCCCTCCCATCATCTATCAATCTATCTGTCTGTCTTTCTGTCTGTCTGTCTGTCTACCTACCTACCTACATACCTACCTACCTACCTACATACATACATACATATAATGACTTGCAGCATTGTTATATAATATGAGTTTTCTCTAGACTATTGCAGAAATTCAGAGCTGTAATATGTTTGAAAATGATGATGGGAGACCTATTCTAAAAATAATAAGACTTCATGAGATTTTATGAGGGAATGAACATAATTTCATACCTGGTTAAAACCAGGGTGCCAAATGATTGTGTTCTCAATGACAACCTCTTTTCCTTTTAGAGCACTGGGGTGTAACTTTCCAACTTTAACTCTCTGAAAGGATCTGTTTGGGAAAGTAATCATATTGATGATGTCAAAGCCACCTGGACTTTCTCTTCTGTCTTTAAAGAAGACTCTTTCTCCAGCTGAGTTGTTAAAAGAAACCTCTTGAAGAAATTTGTGAAGCTACTCAAAGAAGAAGAAGAAGAAGAAGAAGAAGAAGAAGAAGAAGAAGAAGAAGAAGAAGAAGAAGAAGAAGAAGAAGAAGAAGAAGAAGAAGAAGAAGAAGAAGAAGAAGAAGAAGAAGAAGAAGAAGAAGAAGAAGAAGAAGAAGAAGAAGAAAAGGGAGTAAAAAAAGGAAACAATGCATCATGGATAAAATAATTAAAGTTCTATTCCCAACTAACATTTATTGGTTTGAAATACAGAAGAAGAAAATGTCCACCCACAAAGAATGATTAATAACTGAGATATGGAACTCACTTTTATTTTATGAATTAATTATGACAAATACTGTAAAGCACCAAACTCAGCATTTCTCCTGGTACTTTATCATAACTCTGAAAACCAACTTCACTTCATAGAAATAATATACCACTACTATCAAAGAAGAACTATGATAACCCCTAGGTCTCCAGTCTAACAATCCAGTATTGAATACATTGCAAAAAGCTAATACAAGTAAAATGTCCACATTTCAGAAAGGTTTGTAGGTCACAAAAAAAGGTTAGCCTGCATTCAGACACAATACAATTGAATCCTTCATGGAACCAGGCTGGTTAAATTTACAAGACAGGCCAATTCAATGTAGAGATGAAACATTTATTTATGGAATGAACATTGATACATAAATTCTATTGACTAGGCTGAAATTGACAAAGACATGATTTATGTCCATCTTCTATTTTATAACATAGAATGACCTCAGACCCTAAAACCCTTGTGCCTCAGTCTCTCTATTGATCAGTGCCATAGGACAGGGTAAATAAGCTATGATAGCTGAAACACAAGATAGGTGAGGCATGGAGAGATTACCTGCCAAGGCTGCAGATTTGGAATTTCAATCCTTTGATATTCTCTCAGTTGGGATTTTGGTCTCATTGCCTCATGCAAAGAATGTGCCACTGCATAAACAGCATTGTAGATACTGTAGCTTTGGCCAGTCATCTTCAACTCAAACAGAGGTGCAGGCAGATTCTCCAAATTCTCTTCCCCCCTACAGGTTCCACTAAATATTGAAGGTAAATCTGCCTTTGAAAATATACAGTCAAACAATTGTTGCCAAACATCTTGAAGAAATCCATCCTTGTGGGTTGAAGGTTTGATGACTTGAAGAAATTCTTTAAAGCCTTTAACTTCTCTTGAATGCACTGTAAAGGAAAGAGCTCCATGGAACAACTGGAGATCCCAGTTCCTTTGAAATCCTGTCAGTATGAAATCAATTGGATTCATCAGGATCCAAACTTTCCTAAATAATCCACTTTCTTTATTTTCAGGATCATGAAGAACCACAACAGTTCTGAGCCACACTATTGTGAATGATTCTCCATAGACAAGAAAAACACTTGCTTTCTGATCTATCAATTTATTAGAAGTAATTGAGATTGAAACAAATAATTCTGGGAAGTCTTCCAAGTTGATACGTTGTGGAATTTTTTGTATGAAAGCTAAACAGATCCCATTCTGTGAAATCAATGGCTGCAGTTTCTGCAAAAAATATTCTCCCTTGGTTTCCAATGCAAAGATTCCAATCCACCTCCATCCAAAATGGAGGAGAAGTTGTATAACTGCCATGTACTGATAGTCCTCATTTGGCACCATGCAATAAAGTGAAGATAATTTGGTACTCTGAAACTCTTCTTGGGCAAAAGAGCCATAGGTCAACTACAGGAAAAGAATGAAAGAAGGAAGGAAGGAAGGAAGGAAGGAAGGAAGGAAGGAAGGAAGGAAGGGAGGGAGGGAGGGGGGGAGAGAGGGAGGAAAGGAAGGAAGGAAGACAGAAAGATGAAAGGAAAGGAAAGGAAAATTATTATTTATGATAATCAGTGGAAAAAGAGGGAAAAATGACTCCTAGATGGAAACTAAACAATTAAAAAGTTCTCAAACTCTAAGTACATTATGATTTTGATGAACATTACAGCAATAAAATCCCCAATATGAAATATTTTCTCACTGAATGAATATAACTGGACTAAAAGCTAATTTTAGTTTTCTACTATGGATAGACCATGTCTATGAACAGCCTGAAACCTGCTAACTATCTGAGCATATAAACTCTTCCTAGCTTAGGAAAAAAGCTTTTTAAGAGCTAGGATTGTTGTGTTACCTTCTGCTGTTCTCTGCCCCAGGTAGAGAATGCATGAAAGACTATCCACAAGACTCTGGAGGAATAGAAAAAGTCAAGTACAGTATATCTTCATTTACTGCAATTATTATAGAAATCTCCAAAAGTAACATAAAGCTCCAATCCTTCAACAATTTCCAAGCAAATCAGTTGAATTTTACATTCAATTATTATTAACAGACACCAACCCAGACATAGCAAAGAGAGTTGTCACTATTATTGGGTGACTTGGTGGAATCTAGCAGTGTGTTGAGGGCAGCAGTGAAAATGCTAGATAGCCTTGAGTTGGGGATGGGCAGGAAGTGACTGAA